ATAATTTTTTTTTACAAAAATATTTTTTTTTGTGGGGGGGGGGGGACACTTCAGTAGGGTTAATGAAAAATAAGATGTTGGCCTGCATTTTACCGCTTGCATTGACGTGCCAAGGGAAAGAAGCGTCCTAGACAAAGTATTGATTTTTGCGCCCCCTTCCATGCTTTACACCCGCAAAGACGTTGTTTTGGGTCTCTCCTAGAAGTACGCGCTGGACCTATTCCCCTTTCGCCTGCCTCGTTTAGCATGGCCTGACCTGCATGTGATGGGAATTGGGGACGCAAAATAAGTTAACTGTTTTGTGAGCCATGTGCTTATAATCAGCCGGTTAATCTCAAGTCATCACAAGCCTTTGACTTCACAATACTCATCACACATAAAAATTCAATTTCTCAAATTTTTTAAAACATCTTTTCGGGCTGGGTTGAGGTCATTATCAGGTAGTAGTGTGTGTAGCCGGAAAAGAAAAGGGGGTTACCTAAAAAACCTCTCAGTAATCTAAAATTGATCCAGATTTTTGTAAAATGTGATATTGACAAAAGAAGCTCACACAGTCAATTTTAATTTTTTTTTTTAAAAAGAAAAGAAAACTGGTTCTTAAAAAATGTATCAACTTTATTTAATTATAGAGATTTAAAAATAAGATATTCATAGAAAAAAAAATCTTCATCAGTTTTGATTTTCACAGAAGCTGATCATGACAACAATTCTATAATCTTTGAACATCATCAGTGTCTTTTCTAGGGCGGCTAGGCTTTTTCTGCCGACACATTCTTTGATTCGATTTGTCCTTGTTCATATTTTCCTCTACCCTGGACCTAAACCGATCGCAGTGACTCGCCACCCCCAATCTTTTATTGTGCTCAGGAGCAGCAGAACAGTCTGCCACACTCTCTCCTGAATTTGGCGTCACACATACTGTATAATATGGCATTGACGGCACCGTTGATGAGAAATGACAAATAAAAAAGTTTGAACAGTGCACCGGAAGTACCGCTCATAGATTCCAAACCGCCAGGATTGAAGGAACTGTTGAGTTCAAGTGCTAAAAACGGAAGAAAGGAAATTATCAACACGAAGCAGATCAACAGCAACAGGAAACTGGTCCGACCCAAAAATGACTGTTTTATTCTCAGGGTGGTAGCTTCACCTCGTTCCTGACCATGATGGTTCGCTGGAAGGTCGACAATGAGATCTTCTTGCGTGAAAGATAGTTCACGCTCGATAGTGATGATTCTCGCCACTTTATCGTCAAAGGTTTGAAAAAGATCAACATCAGCGATTTCTCCTTCTAAATGTTGCACATTGTCATCAGTTCCATTTGGAGCTTTCTGACGACGCTTGCTAAATTTCATGCTTGCATCTGGAAAGATGATAATTGTTTTAGTATCCCTGACATCTCCACTCGCCACCCTGGGACCAAGAGCTGCAATCGCCCTATGATGAATGTCCAGCCTGTGTGTCGGCGATAGTTCTGATGAAGTTTTACAGCTTTTTGATTCGTCTCCTAACTCGCTGGCCGAAACAACATTGCTGTCCGCTAAGCCTGTCCTAGCACCATCGCCGTTGATATTCCTGCGGCACTCCGACTGGCTGTCGTTAGGATCTGTGATAACGTTTGACCTGTTGCTCAAATCATCGAAATTTTCATGGTTATCATCATTGACTGAAACACGTCGGTGATCTCTGTCAACTCTAGTCACAGACAAACGTGTATGTCTGGTCCATCTCTCCCCGTACGATGTAATATCCCGGTGAGTGTGGGCGGTTGAATTCAGGTCGTCTATTTGTCTGATCATTGAACTATTTTCTTCTCCGCTGTTCGTCTCTGAAGCCGCCGACGCACCTGTTGTTTGCGGTGCGACCTCACAGGTGACCAAGGTGAATTTATTCCAAAGAATTTTGCAGTGGTTACGGGCTTTCTTCCAGATGAGGAAATACATGACAAAAGTAGGCGTTGACGTCAACAGAAAAACACATACGAAAAGTAGCGAATTTATCTTTTGATAAATTGTCCCGACGTAGCCGTCCTCAAAGTCACAGCGTCGCGTGCCACAACGATTGGTGTGACCGACCATGACGCCATAAGGACTCGCACAGACGAGGGACGTGATGCTTATTGAAGCTGTGATGACCTTGACTTGTGCCCGGCTCACCTGCCTACCAAACGGTCGACATATCTTCCTGTATCTGGTTGCGGGAAAGGGGGGAAAGAAAGATACATCTGAGAAGGGATTAAATAATTGTTGTTTCTTCCACGGTAAGACTGTAATCGTAACCTTAATTCAATGCTCTCAACATATTAAATACACATGATATGACCGCTTTTATGTCAATCATTTTGTTTGCTCTGGATTGTGTAAGTCTTTGTTTAGTAGCACAAAAAGTGATTGTTGAACTCTTTCTCTGGTAGCACAAAGAGGATCGTTGAACTCTTTCTCTGGTAGCACAAAAAGTGATTGTTGAACTCTTTCTCTGGTAGCACAAAGAGGATCGTTGAACTCTTTCTCTGGTAGCACAAAAAGGATTGTTGAACTCTTTCTCTGGTAGCACAAAAAGGATTGTGCAGCTCTTTCTCTGGTAGCACAAAAAGGACTGTTGAACTCTTTCTCTGGTAGCACAAAAAGGATTGTTAAACCCTTTCTCTGTTAGTACAAATAGGATTTTTTAAACTCTTTCTCATTGATCGAAAAAAATTTCGTCGACGGAAAATCGACCAAATTTAAGCTTTATCAAAATTCCGTTCGACCAAACTTCCGTTCGACCAAACTTCCGTTCGATCAAATTTCCGTTCGACCAAACTTCCGTCGATCAATTTTTCTGTCGACGAAATTTCTTTCGATCATATTTCCGGATACGGTATTTAACAACATGTCCCTTATGTTCACCAGGCATTTCGGCTAATTCAACAGTTTTGATCGGTAAAGACGTAAACAACAGCTAAAATGCAAGCATGCGCCATTTAAGGCTACGAACAAACTGGTTTTATGCCAGATAAATAGATTTGGTCACATGACGGGACATCTGAACTGCTACATTGGCATTCTTTAAAAAAAAACAAAAAAAAACAACAACTGATATTTCAACCGCTCTATAAACAACCCCCCCCCCCCCCCCCCACCACCATGCAAGCATGAGCCATTTAAGGCTACGAACAACCTGGTTTTATCCCAGATAAATAGATTTGGTCACATGACGGGACATCTGAACTGCTACATTGGCATTCTTTAAAAAAAAACAAAAAAAAACAACAACTGATATTTCAACCGCTCTATAAACAACCCGCCCCCCCCCCTCAAAGCACCTTATGCTACTCATTGCATTGCCCATTTGTGGGTCAACTTCTTACCTGGTCACTGCAATGGCGAGCAGCACAAGACCGGAACCAATCGTCGCCGAGGCGGTCAGAAACTTTACAACTTTGCATACGATGCGAGGGCCATAGTCCCATTTATGGAGTAGTTCATAGGCTTTTCCTGGAAAAATGGAATGTTCATTAATAGTATTTTCTCAGTAATGAATTACGTTGAAAACACGGCCACACGATCTGCGTGGCTAATTTTTTTATGTCATGTCACGAACGGAACTTCAACAGGACATACGCACCATATTGTACTCTACGCAACAGCTTAAGAAATGCAGATTTTATACATATTGTTGTTGTTCTTCCGTCGAAATCGACTAGGACCATTGAGTCATCCTGTTAGGGGGAGGGTGGGTTACGGCGAGCTCGTAGGGGGCTTGCCAGACCGATCCGTGCTCGGAATAATCTCTGGCACCGCGGGCAGGGGTATAGTTGCTGCAGACGGTGACCTAATGTTGGTCTTTCGGGGCAGCCTGCATGTCTCAGCTGTGGTTACCCTATTAGCTTCATGGGATTTAGTCCCCTTTTTGACAGCTGCTCTCCACCTGGCTCTGTCCTGGGCTGTTTGCACCAATTGAGCAGGGTTGATGCTGAAGGCCTTTAGTGCCACTTCCAGTGAGACTTTGTAACGCTTTTTTTTAAACCTCCTTGAGAGCGCTTGCCTGTTGTGAGTTCTCCAAAGAACATCTGTTTCGGGAGCCAGTTTATATATAGTGTTGACTGTTTATTCTTTTAAAAATCCTTTATATTAACTTTGCTTTGTGTGTTTCTGTGTGGCGTAATTTTCGGAAGTCTCGTTGACCAACTTCCCGTATTCCAAATGAAATTTGGCGTCGTTATAATTGTGATTTATGGAGAGCGCCTGACCTTCATTGGCCTGAATGGATCGAATCTCGCTCTGTGTACGTTGTGTTTATTCAATCCATGGTGTTTGTTTAGGCATAAGACGGTCGACTATAATTTGATAGAAGCGCAGCAGGCGTGCGATTTCAATAGTTTGAACTGAACATGATGGAAAGGCACATTTATCGACGCAAACGTGTGTCTAGTACGAAATAAATAATATATTATAGTCAGAATAATGACATTTTTTTTCATTGTGTTGAATATGAGGAGCTCTAGCCAATCCTCCGGTAAAATTTTGCGTTTGTTATATTATTTTGCATATATGAAATGGAGCACATATATGGGTGTAGGGTTATCTGCAGTGGACTTACCCGGTATGGTGACCAAAGTGGTCGTAAGTCCAATTACAGCCAGAGTTTTGTAGAATATTTTGAGCGGCGTGACTGAAGCGTTACCACGATAAACAAAGAGAACCAGGCTGTTGCCCACAGCCCCAACCAAAAATGCCAGTGACAAAAACACAAGTGATGGAGTCACGTCGAGGGTCGTCTCGCTTGTCCCACACAGCTGCGAATCGGGTGTCACGTTTACCACTGCCACTATCATAGTTGTCCTGGGGATGTCATGACATTGTCACATACACTCACATAAATAATGGCGAGAAGCAGTTGCTCAAAATTACTTGATGAATAAGCGTCTTTATAACTGTGGTGGGTGTTGGGATGATGAATTTCACTGAACTGAGTTTCTTTTAGACCCTTGATGCTCGGTGTCAAGAATAAAATAAAAACTCTCCTTAATGTGATCATTTGACTCACTGCGTGGAGAGGGCGGTGACTAGGGCGTCACGTTGATGGGTTACATATAAACGAAAATGCGGCAATCGTTTCCCAAGTCAAATGAATGCGTCACAAATCTCTTTTAAAAAAAAAAAACTGTCGGGTATGGTCCATTGAGATACTTCCTGAAATAGTTTCACAACCAATTGTTGAAGGGATTAAATTAAAGTTCGTTTCACTTAACACGAAAGTTCTGACTCGGCGATGGATCTCATAATATATGAGTGGTACTGATAAATTTACGGGCGCATTAAAAAAAAAATGTGTTTAAATAATTTTCCACAAAATTACCAACAGTTTACTTTCACGTGGAGTGTAATAAAATTTTAACTGTATTCACAGAGCTCTAAATATTTTTTTAAAAAATTATAAAGCGCCTCTTATATTTAATATTTTAAATTTACGTTGAACGTCTTTGGGGAACCCATTTTTTTAACCTAAGATATTCAAATCGCTATCTTACACGTGTAATTGACACGTTTCAAAGCATCTATCAGTCTACAGGTGTCGGCTACAGAAGGAAGGGATGGATTCGCAAAGGTAGCCACCCACAGAGAGCAGGCGGTGAAAAAACATCGACCACTGAAGACAGAAGACAGAAACCAACTTGGTGTTGATTTATGATCAGCTGTCCACTCAAAGTGAAGTTTAAAAAAAAAATTGTAATATTACATTTCAAGTAATCCGGAATGTAATACATATATATATATATATATATATATATATATATATATATATATATATATATATATGTGTGTCGTATATATATATATATAGAGAGGTAGAGTGATATATATGTATATGTGTGTCGTATATATATATATATATGTGTGTATATATATATAATATACATATATATATATATATATATATATATATATATATATATATTACTTTATAAAATATGTATGAATGGAAGGGAAGATCGCAAGTTTGGGCTTGAGCCACAATCATCATTTAGTCAAAATACGTCACCGAGTGGTTTTTGGACAGGGCTCAGCTTGGAGATCAACTGTTTCAGACTTGGTACAAAACACAATGTTTATAAGAGGTATTCAAAGTCTTAATGTGTATTCTAAAAGAAAATTTTTAACTTTGATTATTACTTTAGCGAAATATTTTTTCTTTAGATGGCCCTAAATTAACGTATAGGATTAAATAAGCTTTAGAATTTTTTTACCGAAAACAATACCGAGCAACGCCGGGTATAGTGGCTAGTCTACCCTAATTTGCTCTTAAAATCTGCACAGATGTCCGAAAATGCCATAGCTCCACGTCAAGAAAAACAAACGTTACACCTGGGTGGACAAACCTTCCTACGTCACTAACACCTCCCACCCGAACATCTGAAATACACTGGTCATCACACGTGAATTATTAACGGTTTTCTCCGCTCCATTCAAATGCAATGAATTTAACTGTTCATTGTCACATATTATACAAAGGGTTAATTGTAACATAGTGGTTTTATTTATGCAACTTATAAGATTTAATAAGTTTTACCTTAAATACAAAATAGTAAAGAAGAATTTTCTTGTTTACAACAAAATGAAAGTGTGTTATATGTGTGCGTATGTATATATATTTATATATGTACTTATGTTTATATATCAAGAGAGAGAGAGAGAGAGAGAGAGAGAGAGAGAGAGAGAGAAAGAAAGAGAGAGAGAGAGAGAGAAAGAGAAAGAGAGGAGAGAAAGAAAGATACTGTTATGATAAGTTAACAAGATTTCGACTCCATAGATGTCGGGTCGAATCTCAAAGTCGGTCTGATCTTAACATGGTTTGTTGATAATTACACACTTGACAATCAACCAAGTTTCAACACCCTCAAACACTCCCGCCGGAAGTTGATGTCGCAGAGACTGTACACCACGGGGTTTGCGGCACTGTTGAGAAAATAAGATCTCAGGAAAAGATTGTAGAACGTCAGCCCTACCACGCCGAGGCCGGCGAAACTCTCAGGCGCGAAATATTTATAAAACATGACAGTCAAGAAAGGAAAAAATCCAACAATGTACACAACACTGATGATCAAGAGCATCGCTGTTGTCCGACCCATTCCCCTTCTGACGGTCCGAGCTTTTTCCTTGACGCCCCCACGACTTTTTTGCCCCGCAGCCCCGGACGAGGCATGCTTTAAGTATCCTTCTTGCACCACTCCATCGTCTTGTCCTTTGTCCACCATTTGGTCTTCTTTGTGCTCATCGATAGACTTAATGACGTCGTCATCTTCTGCCGTGTGTTTCGCGGTATCGTTTTGAGTTTTATCTTGACCTCCTCCCAACCCACCCCCGCTTTGGATCACGGTTTCCAAATGTTCGGATTCTCCCGATTTCTTTTTGATATACGATTTTGCCCTTGCTGAACTGCTCAAATCTCCAACCGATGGATACTCCGCGGAATTGCTGGTCATCTCCGTTCTGTCGGTGGCGCCGTCGGTACCTGAAGATTTTTGGGGCGGCTTTTTGCCCGCCGCAGCACCGTAAACGTGGCTGTGGCGCCACGCCTGAATGCCGATGAAGGCGTACAGCACCACCATGGTGCCGCAGCTGACGACGAAAAGCACAAACAAGAACAAAATGGTGAGCAGCGGCCATATTGTGTTCTGATAGCTGTCGTCGAGCGTGCACTCGTAACCATAGATACCGACGCGTGGCGTCTGCTTTGTCTGTCGGCCACAGATGACGGCCAATGGAACAGAAAAGATCAGACAACCCAGTGTCATGACTGGCCCGAGGACCTTAGCGTGAGTTATCCTCATTTGCTTTCCAAAAGGTTTGCATATTTTTCTGTACCTGAGGAGGAACAAAAAAGTTTACTTAATTCTAAGTGTCAGAGCCAACACTGTCGATTATGTCTAACCAAATATCGACCTACAGTGGAAAACTGTTTAGAACTTAAGAAAAATCATTGCTGCCTTGTTACGGTTCTCCGTGAAAGTAGAGAAAACTTTATGGCCTTCTAGGTATTTGTCTGCTTGGTTAATATTATTACTACGCTTACAATGAATATTTGGTCAACAACGAATCCATGGCTAGCAGCATTAATTAAGTAACAGCGTATCTCAATCCATAGTGGTCGTTATCTAGCGGGCACGTCTTTGTCAAGTCAACATGTACACACAGCCTTCAACATAAACACACCACTGATGATCTGTCAACTCGTATCATTGTCAACGTAAACACAGATCATTGTGCTGTCGACAACACACCATTGTCAACATAAGCCCATATCCCCAGACTGTTAACTACTCAGATTCCCAGACTAAACTACACATCTTTCCAGATTGTTAACTACCCATATCCCAAGATTGTTAAATACCCATATCCCCAGACTGTTACATACCCATATCCCCAGACTGTAACTACCCATATCCCCATACGTTTAACTACCCATATCCCCAGACGTTTAACTACCCATATCCCAGACGGTTAACTACCCATATCCCCAGACTGTTAACTACACATATCCACAGACTGTTAACTACTCATATCCACAGACTGTTAACTACCCATATCCACAGACTGTTAACTACTCATATACCCATAGTTTAACTACCCATATCCCAGACTGTTAACTACCCATATCCACAGACTGTTAACTACCCATATCCACAGAATGTTAACTACCCATATCCCCAGACTGTTAACTACCCATATCCCCAGACTATTAACTAGCCATATCCCCAGACTGTTAACTACCTTTCATTGTTAATGCATCTGCGTCTCATTGCCTAATCACCCAACCCTCTCCCACATCCATCCTTTTTTCCAAATTAGCAAGCTATATTTTTAAAAAAAATTCAATACACTCTTTTTATCTTTCCGGTAGCCACCATTCAATATATCAAATTTAAATTCATAATGAGCCCACCTCTCCACAGCCACTGCAACTAGCACTATGGCAGACGCCATTGTGGTAAAAGCGTTGAAGAACATCCTGATCTTGCAAAGCGATTGGTGTTTGAAGTCCCAGATGTGAAACATGTCGTAGATTTCACCTGAAAATACCAATGATTGAAATTACTACGTGTTGTAGAGGTTGGGTACAATGTCATAGAAGAAAGCAGCAACATTTGATACAATCCATTAAACTAAATGCTTAGTAAACGTCAGTGGCGTAGCTAGAGTTGGGTGGGCAGTGGTCCGGTACGAGATAGAAAATGGGCCTCTTGAAAACATAGCTGCTAAATCCCTTACACGTTCTGTACCCTTCAATTTTTGATGGCAGTTGAATTTGAACCCAAGTTTTCCTAAATTAAATAATAATTTTGAAAACCAACATAAACCCACCTTTCACGCCCCATCACGCCACACAGTCTAGGATATTCTTACCTGGGATGGCGATCACATTTGTTATGATGTCAAAACTGGCAATGACCAGGATGAAGATCCGGGTGGCCGTCTGGGTGAACCTGTGCGAGTACACGAACAGCACCAGGGTATTCCCGATAGAACCGAAGACCGCGAGCAGGACCAGGTACACCATGGCCGGCAGCATGATGTTGGTCGTCTGGCTCTGTAGCTCGTCCAGGTACGCCTGGATTTCAGCCTCGGAATAATTGTAGGTGGTCGACGTCAGGACGCCGGTGAGGTTGTCAGAATCTCGAGATGTCACAACGGGGGCGAAGGTTGCCGATGTTGGCTGGCCGCCCGGTAACGCACTGGATGACGACGCGTTGTAGAATTCGGTGCTTGAGGGATCCATGCCCTTAGATGTGAATGACGTCACAATGGTCATGTTTGCATTTAACACCTTACTGGCTGCAGTGTCCTTGGTTGTAGATAATAGACTTGTAACCACGCCTTAGACTGCACTAACCCCTGTAGATTGGTCGGTGATTGGAGCAGTTGGGTAGAGCAGGAGATCTTGTTGAAGGCGCAGCTGTTAGAAATAATATTTCGTTTGTGACAAGATATTGCAAGGATTTGAAAAAAACGGAGCACAATAAAGCCGCTTAAGCTTGAGTGATTGGAGATTCAATAATCTAAAAACACATCACTAAAAGAAATATCTAAGAAATGTAGAAATTGGAAAAGGGTAATAATGTTGCTACAATGTAGTATCGAAATTTTCTAAATTAAATGTTTGAAGTATGAAATTAAACATATTCAATAAAGATTAAATAGGTATCCAAAGAATATGGAGAAGACAACACAAAAAAAAAACCACCATGGTTTGCAGTAAAGGAATACGGCTAAAGGTATGAAGATGGTATTCAGGAAAGGAATAGGGCGTAAAAAGAGGATATTTAAGAAACGAATATTGCGTAAGGAGATGGTATTTAGGAAATAAATAGGGCTTAAGGATATGGTATGCATGAAATGAATAGGGCGTAAGGAGATGGTATTCAGGAAAGGAAAATAGGCGTAAAGATATCGTATGCAGGAGAGAAATAGAGCGTAAGGAGAGGATATTCAGGAAACGAATATGGCGTATGGATAGGGTACGCAGGAAATTAGAGGATGTAAGAGGTGGTAAGCAGCAAAGAAATAGGGCGTAAGGAGTTATTATGACGTCAAACAGTAACATTATACGGCCCTACCTGTCTCTAGTTATTCATTCATCCACCACACACCAGCAAGTCTGCCTCGACATTAAGAAAACACAATTCTTTCCTTGCATAATGAAGCAACGTTTTGTTTTCTTCTGCGCTAGGCATGCGCCATCTCCCAGCGACATTCATCAAATGTATTCCACTTAGTGGAGACCTGTCTATGTGGATTACAGTTGGGTTTAAAGGTCAGCGCTGTTGCATGATGGTCAATGTCTATACCTTCTGTTCTTCCCCCCCCCTCACCCAACACCACCAACTACAATCCTCTCAAGTGTCCCTCTGACGGATGCAACACAATGAACGTAACATTTTTAAAGGTTATTTTTTAAAAAAACTGTTGAATAAAATAATGTACTACTTAAATTAATTACATACAAATATTTGTAAGAACTTCATGGGAGTGTGGGGTGGGGCTGGGGATGGTGGGAGTGAGCCTTGGAGGCCCCCGGTGGTACTTGTAGTTGTCTCTTGTTTCCAGATGGCAGGTTTGAAAACGATGCTGGCAGCTGTCCTTGCAGGGCAGCGTTGTAGACATCCCATTGAATGTGTCTTCTGGTGAGACACGCCACTGACATCCCTTTGAATGTGTCTTCTGGTGAGACACGCCACTGACATCCCCTTGAATGTGTCTTCTGGTGAGACACGCCATTGAAATCACATTGAATGTGTCTTCTGGTGAGATACGCCACTGAAATCCCATTGAATGTGTTATCTAGTGAGACACACCACTGACATCACATTGAATGTGTCTTCTAGTGAGACACGACACTGACATCCCATTGAATGTGTCTTCTAGTGAGACACGCCACTGAGCAGTTATGTATCTGTTGGTTCTCCTCTCTTTTAAACTAAATCTCCTTGAGGAGGAGATGGTCGTGGGGGTGGGGGGAGGGGGATGACAAAACAACTTAAAAACGATTGCTATAAATAGCACAAGCCGGACGTATCTGCTCAAAGCACCTGAGAGTGTCAATTATGTACAGTGTCATCCCATCTAAGCAAACATATTATAATATTAAGTCATATTATGTTATTAATGCTCAGTTCACACGATCAAGTTTTCGATTACACATTTGACGTGGATTTTGCATGTAGCCTTGTCACAACTTTAAAATTACTAATTGATCAAATTTCCACAGTCGTCCAAAAATGAAACCACTGACACAAAACTTAGCGTTCATTCAAAAATTTGACGATAATTTGATAATGTGAACTGAGCATGAGGGGTTCATATTTTCAACGTAGAATCTGTCGTCAAATAGACAACAGCAAATTAAAAATAAATTACAATCAGCAAAAACAAATATTAAATTATTTTAAAAAAAAAATTGTTACAATTTTGTTTAACAGTATATTTATTTAGGAATAAAGCAAGATAAGTGTCTTTAAACAATGATCCTCAAAATTAGCTATTTTGGTGTGCCGCGCTACACACGACCGCCTTAAAAATAATAATAATAAGGATATATCCACGAAAAAAACAAGTGATATCCATTTATTTTGTGAATTCGCTGGTCATTGCATCCAGGCCATTTGATACGATCCAGTCAGCCATATGTGTATGTGCAATGATTGTTTTAAACCATATGTGCAATGATTGTTTTAAACCATATAAGGACACAACCAAATACAAAGTTTTGTTAGGGCCATGTCACACATTGCGCTTGATCAGATCGAACATCGTGATGAACCATTCTATAAATTCTATGCAAACATTGGCAAAAGTTTTATATGCAAAATTGAAGCTAAGTGACGTAATAACATTTTTTTGTGTACGTTAATGATGCAACACACATTAACGGTATTATGGCAGAACAACGATCTTAAAAATGGAAAGGGGGGTGTATCTAGAAACTATGTATGGATGAGAAGCTACACGCCCCTGATCATCACTTTCTAACTTGACGGCAGTGACGTCACAGCGCACAACAACAAATCCGACTCCTTTTGTTGTCAGCATATTCGGAATTCTATAAGATTAAAAAAAAATTGCAGTTCTTTCAGAAGTAGAAAAGGCCCATTCAACAGAATACTTGGTGCATCCAGCCAGACAAAGCGATTATGACATAACAAGTTGTGTTTTTTTCAAATCAAAATTCTTTTAAAAAGTGAAACAAACTTAAATAACCTAAACAAGTGCAGTGGAAATACTTGCAGCTTCACTTTCTATTAAAGTTTCAATGACAAACCTTGTCCAAAATATTTTTTTTTAAAGTTACACTAAAAGAACTTTGAAGAGGCTCGTTAAAGTTGCTAGTAAAAACAATATGGCTGAAACTCCTCATTTAGACAATAACTTTAGGTGTAAACATTTAAGTGGCGCAAAGTTGCAATGTGGAGGGAAAAAAATGAATTTAACGAAATTTAATTTCCATTGAAGAGGAGAGGGGGTGGGGGGGCCTTTCAAAAAGTCACGTGACCACTATGTGAATGAGGCTGGTGGCTCAAGCAACTGTAACACATTCAACAGCCGAGGCTCTGAGCTAGCGTAATGGAAGGAATGGTAGGATATTAGAAGAATTGTTTTCCTCGATTCGGCCACAATCAAAGTGCAACAAACAAGAAGATCTGCTGTTATGTAAAACGAAAAAGAAACAAACTGACGAGCAAAGAATAAAAAAAATCTGGGTTTTATGTCCCTGACAAAACTTTCATGTTTACAAACATTTCACCAATTTCGCACACTCTCTCCTGAATTTGACGTCACACACGCTGTAAATGGTTGAATTGGCGATGCTGTTGATCAGAAAAGACCTGTGGAAGAGATGAAACAGTGCGAGGTAGGGTTTCCCCATAGATGGGAAAGTGTCAGGGGCGGCGTTCTTGAAACATTCCAGTGCCAAAGAGGGGAGGAATGAGCAAATGAAAACGAGGCTGATGGCCAGCAACAAGCATGACGTCCTGCCTAGTCTTCGCTCTTTTATTCTGAAAGTATTTGTTTTCGCTTTGGAAAATCCTTTATACACTGCCTTAGTTTGGTCCAGAGGTTCAACATGGTTCAGAGTTTCAACATGGTTCAGAGGTTCAACATGGCCCAGAGGTTCAACATGGTCCAGAGGTTCAACATTGCCCAGAGGTTCAACATGGTCCAGAGGTTCAACATGGCCCAGAGGTTCAACATGACCCAAAGGTTCAACATTGCCTAGAGGTTCAACATGGCTTAGAGGTTCAACATGGCCTAGAGATTCAACATGGTCCAGAGGTTCAACATGGTCCAGAGGTTCAACATGGCCTAGAGGTTTAATATGGCCAATGGATTCAACATGGCTTAGATTTTCAACATGCCCTAGAGGCTCAACATGGCCTAGAGGTTCAATATGGCCAATGGATTCAACATGCCCCAGAAGTTCAACATGACCAAGAGATTCAACATGGCCCAGAGGTTCCACATTGCTCAGAGGCTCACAATCGCCCGGAGGTTCCACATTTCCCAGATGTTCAACATGGCCCAGAGCTTCAACACGGCTAAGAGTATCAATATGGCACAGAGGTTCAAAATGGCCCAGAGGTTCAACATGGCTTAGAGGTTCAACATGGCCCAGAGTTTTAGCATGGTCCAAAGGTTCGACATGGCACAGAGGTTCAAAATGGCCCAAAGATTCAACATGGCCTAGAGTTTCCAAATGGCCCAGAGTTTTAGCATGACCCAGAGGTTCAACATGGCCCAGAGTTTTAGCACGACCCAGAGGTTCAACATGATCCAAAGGTTCAAAAGTGGAAATATTGCCATCTCCAAGTTTATCTTTTGTGGCCTCATCGCAACATGGCTTAGGGACTTCAATCGTCTTAGGTTCACATGACTCGAAACGACCGGTGCTCTTAATATGGGTAACCTTAGATGGTGGACTCATAGTCAGGGAGCCCCGTGACAGGAAACACTCATTCAGGGCATTCTCATTCAGCGCAATCTGAACCAGGGGACTATCATTCCGGGCACTTACATTCAGGACATTCTCATTCAGGGCACCCTCCTTTAGTGCACTCTCAGCCATGGCACTCTGAGCCAGGGAACTCTCATTCTGGGCACTCCGAGCCGGGACACTCTCATTCAGCGCACTCTCAACTAGGGCACTCTCATTCAGGGCACCCTCAGCCAGTCTGCCTTTTTTGGTAGTATTCACAAACTTCAGGTCATTTCTAGCACAGGCCAGTGGTTTATCCAAGCAACCGGACCGATTGTGGGCAGTACACAGTTTGCTCTCGGAGAGTAAAACTGAACTGATTTGCTCAATCTTACGACAAGATAACGACTCCCCTTTTCGTGGTTCCCTGCAGCAGCCTGTCCGTTCGTCCACGAGCTCGACGGCGAAAGCGTTCTCTTTTTCTTTCAAAGTCGCATGCACTCCGCAACTGCTGACGTCTGCCACATCTCCCAACGAAACGTCGTCGGTTATTCGAGTGGAGCACAGTGGCTCACGGGACTCCGCTTCATCGCAGCTGGCGCTTGTCATTGTCACGTCGCTTTTATCCAGCAGCCGCATCATTTTCTTCCCCAGCGATGACCGATGCCTCCTCGCTATTCTCGAGACGAGGACGTACATGACCAGCGTAGGAACGGAGCCGAACAGGAAGAGACACAAGAAGAAGACGGAGTTGACGACGGGCCATATCGTGTCCACGTACGCGTCTTCGACGTCGCAGATGTAGCCATGGACGCCAGGGCGAGGAGTGGGCCTGGTCTGGGTGCCGTTGATGACGCCGTACGGAACTGAGACGACCAGAGAGGCGATGACGATGGCCGCCGAGATGGCCCTGGCCTGAGCCATGTTGACCTGGGCACCGAAGGGGCGACAGATTTTTCGGTATCTGTAAATGCGACAGAAGAAAAAAATCGATAAGTTGGCCGGTAGTTTTTTTGAAAAAATAAATTTCTTTGTTAATTTTTTTAAACATTACGTTGGGATTCCCCCGCCCCCCACCCCCTCGGGGGACAGTATCTATTTCATTGGAAGTAGTTTATGTTTCTTTATACATTATTAAACTTTGGAGACATTTTAAAAATTCCAATTTTCGTACAAAGTAAACATAAAAAAAACAACAAATATTCACTTTCGTAATATTGAAAACAAATGACAGAATCAAACGGCTCATATAATGGCTCACATAACGGCTTACATAACGCCTCACATAACGCCTCACATGAAGCCTCACATTATGCCTCACATAACGGCTCATATAATGGCTCACATAATGGCCCACAAAAGCCTCACATAACACGTCACATAACGCCTCACATAACGCCTCACATAACGCCTCACACAACGCCTCACATAACGCCTCACATAACGCCTCACATAACGCCTCACATAACGTCTCACATAACGCCTCACACAACGCCTCACACAACGCCTCACATAACGCCTCACATAACGTCTCACAAAACGCCTCACACAACGCCTCACATAACGCAGCGCTACAGACACATGTTTAAGATCAACCAAGCCTAGGACAGAGGCTCTCGACACTGTTATAAAAATATGTTCATTAAAACGAATTTCCATTAATTTGGATCGATAAAAGAAATCTGATTAAAATCGAACAAATTACTTCCCCCCAAAAATCCCGCTCTGTTAACCACTCATGTTGAGACTTTGAACATATCGATTGGGACACATTTGAACCACAGTTAACAACCACTTAATATAACAATCCAAAAACAAACGACTATATCCTTTAAAAAAATTTCCAGTGAATTTACTCCATTGTTTCCGTTCGTCCAATTGAAATATTGCTGAGGTTTTTTCCCCCCACCCTCTAATGTAGGACTCTAGAGTTGCACTTAAACAAAATGGGTTGCAGTGCATGTCTAGTCATCCATGTCTAGTATAGTTTATTTTCTTCTTAAAGTTATACATCGAATAAATTCGAGAAAATGCTACTTCTTTTTAAGATCATTGCATACATTTTTTATTTACTTGTACAATTTGCTTCTAAACTGAAGTTGAGTTGTTTTTTTGATGAAATGGTTGGACTGCATGCACTCGGTTCAAGATTTAGAGCCTCTACACGTCAACGACTCGAACACCTTTGCTAGCTATGGAGTGTTGGGTCAAAGACACACGACCGGACAAATGTTATCTAGAAAGTCTAGGTGTAGTTGGTCAAAGACACACGACCGGACAAATGTTATCTAGAAAGTCTAGGTGTAGTTGGTCAAAGACACACGACCGGACACATATCTGAAAGCCTATGGCGTCGTGGGTCAAAGATAAACTACACAACAATTTGTATGCTGTTTTTTGTTTGTTGTTGTTGTTGTCGTTATGGTAACGTTTGGGACAATGCTTGCTTTCATAGATGGCTTTCATTAAATAAATATATATATATATATCTAACGCCCATCAAGTATGTAGCATTGCTGGTACTGTTGGAGGAATGCAGTGCATACCTTGTCGTGGCTTCTGTTACTGCTGTAATAAAGCACCACATACCTGGTCATGGCAACAGCCACCACGACAAGACCAGATCCTATCGTGGCCACCGCGCTGAAGAACTGTTGGATCTTGCAAACAACTGGATGATCGAAGTCCCATTTATGAAGCGATTCATAAATCTCACCTGAAAAAATAAAATCGATGCCCGAATAATTGATTCACTCTTTAGACAACTGATTCGTTAAGAAAATAGTCTGTTAACTTCGTGAATTCAAAAATCGTATTTTATATCTAATGACGCCTGCAAATTAGAGTAGAATTTTGAGGCTTCTATTTGATTTGAAACAAAAAGGGATTGTAGTTGATGTCACTGTGACAACACTAACCGGGAAGGGCAACTGTCACTGCAACAACACTTACCGGGAAGGGCAACTGTCACTGTGACAACACTAACCAGGAATGGCAACTGTCACTGTAACAACACTTACCGGGAAGGGCAACTGTCACTGTGACAACACTTACCGGGAAGGGCAACTGTCACTGTAACAACACTAACCAGGAATGGCAACTGTCACTGGTACAACACTACCGGGAATTGCAACTGTCACTGTAACAACACTTACCGGGAAGGGCAACTGTCACTGTGACAACACTTACCGGGAAGGGCAACTGTCACTGTAACAACACTACAGGGAAGTGCAACTGTCACTGTGACAACACTTACCGGGAAGGGCAACTATCACTGAAACAACACTTACCAGGAATGGCAACTGTCACTTTGACAACACTTACCAGGACTTGTCTCTCTTAGAAAACTCACCAGGTATAGAGATGGTCACCGTCAGAAAACTCACCAGGTATTGAGACGGTCACCGTCAGTAGACCGTAGCAAGCCATGACTTTGATGAACATCTTCAGCGGCGTCTGGGGAAACCTGCGCCAGTAGATCCACAGGGCCAGGCTATTCCCGATAACTCCCGTCACGAGAAGCAGAGACAGGAACGTCAGCACTGGAATCATGACAATGGTTGTCTCGCTTTGTAGACCTTCAAGATACAATTTCACTTCAGCGCTCGAATAATTGTGCGCTGACGCCATCATTGTCACACTACCTTGTCAGATTGTCACACTGTCGATATATATTGCCCAATGCCGTGATAGATTGTCACAATATCCTCCGAACAAAATCTTGACGGCAAGTGAGATATACAGGAAGAGTCTTCTCATCGCCAATGATAGCCTAATACGAGTGACTACAGTAGCCCGGAAGCACATTTAATGTCCACGTCTGAAGTCACGTACGCTAGCACGGACAGACAACTTTCCATATCGGTTTTACCCCAATGAAGTGTTATCGGATTATAACTTTAAAAAGACATTTGTCAGAAAAAACGAATGCGCCTTTTAAATGATCTATTTCCTGACCATGTGTGTGGGCTGGTGACGTCATGCACTCAAACTGGATTGAGTTATTGTAGAGAAATATGAAAGGTCTTTTATACTTTAAACTCTATTGTGAACGTTACTAAAAAACTTAAAATTGTATGAACTGACTAAATTATTCCCAGATTTTGTGTGTGTTTAATACAAGTGCCCTTCTTTTCTATTTTCTATTGACGCCGAAATCTGTCAAGGTTTCATAATCCTAGAGAACTGAACTTTGGTAAAACAACCTATTCTGGTGACATTAGCTCATCAACCTATTCTGGTGACATGAGCTCATCAACCTATTCTGGTGACATGAATTCACCAACCTAGTCTGGTGACATGAGTTCACCAACCTAGTCTGGTGACATGAGTTCATCAACCTAGTCTGGTGACAAAAATTCATCAACCTAGTCTGGTGACATGAATTCACCAACCTAGTCTGGTGACATGAGTTCACCAACCTAGTCTGGTGACATGAGTTCACCAACCTAGTCTGGTGACATGAGCTCATCAACCTATTCTGGTGACATGAATTCACCAACCTAGTCTGGTGACATGAGTTCATCAACCTAGTCTGGTGACATGAGTTCATCAACCTAGTCTGGTGACAAAAATTCACCAAACTAGTCTGGCGACATACGTTAACAACCTAGTCTGGTGACATGAGTTCATTAACCTAGTCTGGTGACATGAGTTCATTAACCTAGTCTGGTGACATGAGTTCATTAACCTAGTCTGGTGACATGAGTTCATCAACCTAGTCTGGTGACATAAGTTCATTAACCTAGTCTGGTGACATGAGTTCATTAACCTAGTCTGGTGACATGAGTTCATTAACCTAGTCTGGTGACATGAGTTCATTAACCTAGTCTGGTGACATGAGTTCATTAACCTAGTCTGGTGACATGAGTTCATCACCCTAGTCTGGTGACAAAAGTTCTTCTTCTATATATTAAGGGCCCGTGATCAATTTATTGATCATTATGGGTCCTATTTATGTAGAGGGGGCTCGCAATGTTTCTGTGCTGGTGTTGTAGAGGATATTTCACTGATTAAAAGGGCTACTGAGTGAGGGTGTCATGAACTGGGGGTTGAAAGGCCTGAGGTAATAGAAGCTAATGTTTCAAGTGTTTTCGCCTCAACTGTTCCTTTTGGAAGCTTCTTCCAGTCCCTGATTGTCTGTGGCAGGATGAGCAGTTCTTATACTGACTTCTCTCTGGTATGAGCCGGAACTGCCTGTTATGGCCCTGTCACTGCCTAGGGGGGAGAAGGACCAGCCCATTATTTATCTTGTACATCATGGAGAGCTTGGATAGTCGTCGTCGTTCCTCCAACGGTGACCAGCCCAGAACACTATAGGTATTTATTTAGCGGTTCAGGACAAAGCGTGCTGGCCGTTGCTCTACAGCCTCCAACCTGTCGATGCTCTTCTGGGTAAATGGGTCCCAGACTGAAGATGCGTAATCTGAAAGCGGCCGGACAAAGGCTTTATAGGCTCTTTCTTTCACACTATCTTGTTTGCCTGGTTGCATTCATTGTTAATATGGTCGTCCCAGCGGACCTCTCTTTTAATGGTAACACCCAGGTACTTTACGGAGGAAACTGGCTCAAGTATCTAGCCATGTATTCGTAAGTTAGTGTAGAGGAGTGCAACTTCTAGAGACTGACAGTGTCTGGCACTTGGAAGGATGAAATTCAATGTCCCAACCAATCTCCCACTCAGCTAACCGATTGAGATCCTGTTGTAGCTGGTCCTGTTCAGAGCTGTTGGCGATCGTCCTACATACCGCCGTGTCATCTGCGTACAGTCTTACTTGGGATGTCAGTTTCTCGGGTGGGTCATTGGTGCTTGCTAGGAACATACAGGGGGGCTAGCAGCGAGGTTCTTGGGAATCCCTAACTTAACACCGACAAATCCACATCAACAACCTAGTTTGGCGATATGCCGTACATGATTTTCTGTTCCGTGTGTCAACTCTTCTCCCCCACATCAAAAAACAAAAAAAAAACAAATTTAAAAAAAAAATAAACAAAACAACAGCAACAAAAAATAAAACAAACAAATAAAAAAAAAACAACAACAAAGAAAGCACAAAAATACAAACAGATTTCATTCCCAGATTCACTCTGTTGGATTGAGTTAAATCATTATAAAACATATATGAAGAATTTCACACGTTCCATCCTGAACATGATGTCATTACACACTGTAGACGATTACATTGGCAGTGCTTTTGTTATGGGGGAAACATTGTGATAAAAGTAAGAGAGTTCATATGATATATTGCCTATATTAACTCTCTTACATACTAAGAGTCTATTTCTTTCGTCTTGCTCTCCTCTTGGATACCTCATCGCAGCTAAGTTTAAATGTATATTTGTTTAAGTATATTTAAATGTTTATGTTGTTTTTCTTTCGCTGAAGAAGGCTTCCTGCCGACACGTTCGTTTTTGTTTTGCGTCCTTTTTTCAGGTTTTCCCATGCATGTTTTTTGTTTCACTTATTCTCTCCCGCCTAACCTGAATGTAGTATGTCCATCTTATTATCCATTATCTCCGTCTACCTAACCTGATTGCAGTCTATCCATCTTATTATCCATTATCTCCGTCTACCTAACCTGATTGCAGTCTATCCATCTTATTATCCATTATCTCCGTCTACCTAACCTGATTGCAGTCTATCCATCTTATTATCCATTTCCATTTCCTTTTTATTTATTTATTTTATTTTATATTTTTTTTTTTTTTTTTTTGGGGGGGGGGTGGGGTGGGGGATATTTGGTGATAGCAACCGTTTTAAGAATGGTCACGATCAGGTCACTGGGTTGGGGGGGGAGGGTAGGTCACCAAGTTTGTAACAATACTGGTCAGTCACACAGTCACGCTTACTGTCCCAATATCTCTAACGGCTTCCAACGGCAGATAACACATTCTCATCATCATTTTTGTTTTTAATAATTTTGCCCTCGGATGCCTTCCTTGGTCATTTGACATTAGGGTAAATAATCCCCCTATGCCTTACAGACTTCATTAAAAAAATAACAAATTGTCCTAAAATCACTTATTTTGATGGCCAATATAATTATGTTGTATCTATTTAATGCGTTCATTTCCCTCTCATAAATAACGTTGTATATCAACAAGTCTAATGAGTTGGAGGAAAGCGAAGCGTGTATGAAGTTTCTGCTGTTGATTATTAACAGTTTCTTGTTATGTTTAAAGAAGTCACCCAGTTTCATTGATTAAATTTAGCAAATAACTTTCTGCTATTCAAATAGGTCAAATCTGTTTTTCCATTTATAATTTAAAAAAAAAACAACAACAACATTATTGACCCTATAATCAAAAGTCTATTGCTTTAAAATGTGTCATGCTTAAGAAGATATTGTAAGGATATAATTATTCATCTATTCTTTGAAGTGTATAATGTTCCCATTAGTAAGCTAAACACAAATTTCAAACAAATGTGTAAGGTAAATATCGCGTGCATTCCATCTATCATGTAAGGAAAAAAAAATCAATTTCTTGGCAGCCACCCTCCCCACAAGGTCATTGGGGCCGGCTTAAAGGGTTGTGTGAACAGTTGGTCCGACAGAGAAAGCAAAGTAACTTAACATTGGTTACAAATCTTTTTATTGGATACGTTCATGGGTGTTAAAATCATACAATTATACCGTTTCTTTCCATGCATTTATAGTGTTCAAAAATAGCATGGACGCAAGGGCTATAAAAGTATTTAATCATCCATCCATCCTATTCATTTTAAAAAATTGCATTTTTTCAGAGACATACTATTTATCAATGAAAATAATTTTGTAAACTTAGAAATAAGCAAACATTGTGATTTAAAAAAAAATTCCTTAGGGAAAACAGTGGAAGTGCATCAGGCTTTACAAAAAAAACAACAAAAAAACTTTGATACATATTTATGTAGTATGAAAGCCACCTTCCATTGAAGTGTTAAAAAAAAATACTACTTCCTGTCATCAGTGGCTACCTTCTGTTTCATTGTCGAGGGAGATTTTAAAAACCTTTCCAACGTCTTCTGTGTCTGTTGTTCCCTTGAAACCTTTCTAAAATGTATAGTGAATTTTCATTGGACTATTTGGTTGCTATGGAAACACCAGCTTGATTTGTATGAATCTTGTTCACCAACCTTCCCATGCGCCCTTTGCTTAAATATGTTTTAATATCCAATGTTAGAATGGCTCCCTTTTTGTTTGTGCTTTTGTTCTCTTAAGACAGTGGTTCTCAACCTTCTTATACCGTGACCCTTCAATACAGTTTCTCATTTGTGGAGACCCCCAACCAAAATATTATATTCGTTGAAACCTCATAAATGTAGAGTATATGTGTTTTCCGTTGGTTTTAGGCGACCCACAGGTTGAGACCCACTGTCTTAAGATATTTGTTTTTCCTCTTCAGGTTGTCATGTAATGCTTTACTTAAAATTATCATGGTGTAGTTTGGTTTAATCATAAGTCATCACCCCAATGGGACGCATGGGATAATGTGGAAAGTCCACAAGAGCGTACATGCTTTTTCCGTACGTCACAAAACCCAGGCCCCCCACCCCCAACACCCCCCCCCAAAAAAAAACAAAACAAAAACCACTGTCTTAAGATATTTGTTTTTCCTCTTCCGGTTGTCATGTAATGCTTTACTTAAAATTATCATGGTGTAGTTTGGTTTAATCAAAAGTCATCACCCCAATGGGACGCATGGGATAATGTGGAAAGTCCACAAGAGCGTACATGCTTTTTCCGTACGTCACAAAACCCAGGCCCCCCACCCCCAACCCCCCCCCCCAAAAAAAAACAAAACAAAACAACAACACAAAAACATAACAAAGAATAACTATGAAACAAACTTTAAATTTTAGTTTTCAAATTCCATCTGCTGGGTTAAGGTATATCATTTACGAACATGAGAATAATTTCAGACATTCTTTCCTGAATTTGATGTTACAAACACTGTAGATGATTGGATTGGCAGCGCTGTTGATAAGAAAAGACCTGTGGAACAGATGGAACAGTACAAGGGACGGGCCGCTCAGAGATGAGAAAGCACGAGGGGCGGTCGCCTTGAAACATTCCAGCGTCAAGAACCGGAGAAAGGAGATGACGAAAACGAGACTGACGGCAAGCAGCATCAACGTTGTTCGACTTAGCCCCTCGGGTCTTAGCGTTTTCCCTGGCGCAGTCGTTGCATTTGTTATGGTAGCCTGGCACTGCTGTCCGCTCTTAGCTTCAGCCAAAGACGTGTGCAGTGTGGATGATGTCTCATTCCATCTAACGATGGTTGATGTCTGTCCTGCTTTTTCGACCATGGGCGATGAAACGATGCAGTCATCCGTTGATTTCGTAGTGACGTCACTGATGACGTCATCTTGGTGTGAGTTGACCGTTATGATTGTGTTTATGGAAGCCTTACCGTGTCTGCGCGCGAGCCTTCCAATCAGAGCATAAAAGACCAACATCGGGATGGAGCCAAACACAAAAATGGAAATGAAGAGTATCGAATTGACCATAGGCCAAATGGTCGCATTGTAGGCGTCATCAAACTCACAGGTGTAACCATGGATACCGGGAAGCTTGGTTACCTTTTTCTGGCGGCCATGTAGGATTCCGTAAGGAATCGCGCATAGAAGGGAAATGATCGCAATAGCTGCTGCGATGATCTTGGATTGAGCGATGGTGATCTGCCACTCAAATGGCTGACATATTTTTCTGTATCTGTTGTGACCGCAACATGAAAGCGAAATTGAAAAACACATAATAAAAAAATTATTTTCGTATCAATCCTTATAAAATGTTATATTGAAAAATGTAGGGTCGGGCTGAAAAGTTGACAAAACATGAAAACAAGTAGTGCACTTTATAAGGTGCACTTTATAAGAATTCCAATTAGGGTTGCCCCCCCCCCGGTCTCAAAACCGTACATTTTTTTTCACGCACCAGAACTATATTAATATTTGAATGGCCCACCTGCTTTTGCACTACATATTTATTTCACCAACTATTTCAGAAAAAAAAAGAAAATATTGGCATCGAGTCAATGCGTTCGATAGGTTGACGGTAAATGGGTCGATTAGCCGTCCGAAGATTTTTGACAGTCCAACACAAATAAAAGCGAAGTTAATATAAATGATTTAATTAAACGACCACTAAAACCCAAGTTTTCGTATAAATCTTTTATGAAATTTAATACAAAGCCATGGAGGGGTGGGGTGGAACTGAACACTAGACAAAAACATGCCTTTAAGTAACGCACTTGATAAGAATCCAATTTGGTGCTCTCCGCCACCACCCCCACCCCGCGGCTGGGAATCACACATCTTTTTCACGCCACTGAAGGATATTAATATTCTAAGGACACATCCGCTTTTCCACCGCAGTTTTTTTTCCACCAACTATTTCCAACCCTGCCAGCCGGCCACGAACAAAAGCGAAGTTAATGTAAAAGATTTTTAAAAAAATAATGTTGCAGGAAATTCATCTTACTTACATCACTATAAAGAATAACATTTCAAAATCAGTTTTTTTCTTTTTTTAAAAAATAAAGCAACTCTGTTTTGTAATAATTAAACTGAAAAGATTTTTTTTTAAAAATTTCCATTCTACATTGTTATTAGTTTCTTCTACTTAAGCTCCATGGTACCAACCTTTTTTTCGTCGTGATCCCATTTTACAGGATCAACGTAGACATTTTGGATATAGTTTGGGAACCACTAATTTAATGGGAAATCATGCTTCCATTTTTTTAATTAATTTTTTTTTACCTCCAAATTTCACGACATTTATTTTAAAATCTGTTGACGCCAAAATCACATTATTTTAGGCCGTAAAATATCCTCTGTTAAATTAACGTGTGCTTCTATTTTTATTGCTTTGGTCTGCAGCCGACCTTCGCTATTGATATTTAATGCGTCATTTCTCAATGGAAACCTGCTTGTATACATAGATACATATTTATCTACGCCCATCGCCAACTTAAAGTTTTATGAAAAGTTGGTTTAAAAAAAAAACAGAAACTGCAAATGTCTTGTTAGATGATATCTTACTGAAGCCACACGAAAATTGCTTATGACTGAAGCAAGTAGCTGGTAACTGTCATGGTTCTGCAGTTCTATCAGACCACATACCTGGTCCAGGAAACTAGTTCTACAGTTGTATCGGACCACATACCTGGTCCAGGAAACTAGTTCTACAGTTGTATCGGACCACATACCTGGTCCAGGAAACTAGTTCTACAGTTCTATCGGACCACATACCTGGTCCAGCAAACTAGTTCTACAGTTCTATCGGACCACATACCTGGTCCAGGAAACTAGTTCTACAGTTGTATCGGACCACATACCTGGTCCAGGAAACTAGTTCTACAGTTCTATCGGACCACATAACCTGTCATGGAAAATAGTTCTACAGTTCTATCGGACAACATAACTTCTCATGGAAACTAGTTCTACAGTTCTATCGGACAACATAACGTGCCATGGAAACTAGGGCGACTAACATACTTTTCTACTAGACCACATACCTGGTCCCCGCTATTGCCACCAGCACAAGACCGGAACCAATGACCACAGAGGCGCTGAAATATTGCTGAATTCTGCAAACTGTGGGATGGTCAAAGTCCCAGTCATTGAGTGACTGGTAGATCTCTCCTATATGGAAACACATTAATCAATTATGGTAAATCAATGATGCTCCTTACCAAAATCAGTCCAAAAAATCAAATTTATTTTAATTTTTTTTCTTCATTGTTTTTTTAAAACACATATTAACAACAAAATGCATACATAAACACTTGTTTTCTTGAATACATAATCGGTCTCATTAACTTACTCAAATTGTTCTTTCATTTGACATTATTTTCCGGATAAGATTACTAACGTTAATTGCTTTTATAACGAACTTAAAACTCTATTTTTTTTAAAAATATGTAAGGATATTAAAATTTACCTGGAATCGTGATTGAGTTTATTAATAGATCGTACACAGCCACTACCAGGATGAACACTTTCTCGGGTGTCTTGGAGCGCTTTCTCCAGTAGACCAACAGAACAAGGCTACTTCCGATAACTCCAGTCACTAAAAGCAGAGATAAGAATGTCAGGGCTGGAATCATGACAAGGGTTGTCTGACTTTGAAGAGTTTCCAGAAGCAATTTTCTTTGTTCCTCCGTGTAATTCAGCGACTCCGCTATGTTTAACATTCTTTCCACGATGCAGTCTGTTCTCACAACGTCAAGTTGATTAAGACGAGTTGGCAAAGTTAAGGTGATAAACTCAAAGTTTCAATGAATGTTGTTAAAACACCGATAAATGTGATCGCCGACTGTCTTAGAGACTTTTGAAACATGCCAAAAGATCTTAAAATCACTAGTTTAAATTATGATGTATCTATTTCATGCGTGCACTCTCCTCTGATATTCTATTTCATACGTGCACTCTCCTCTGAGATATAACTTGTGGTACAGTCAAGCCATGCAAGCAAGCTGATGTCAAGTGGAGTTTTCAATTAGTTTCTGCTGTCGGTGCTACAGTTAAACTGTTCTTTTTTAAAATTATCTTAAACGAAGTCGCTTAGTTTCGGTCCACTTAGTTCCGTTGAGGATATTAATACAAAGTTCTTCCTGTAATTAAACCAAGTCTCTATCTATGTCAAGTTGCATTTGAATTTCTAGACAAAAGCAACATTGATCCCATTTTCATAATTGAAAAGCACTTTAATAAAAAAAATGATTTTTAGGAAGAGAGAAGTTGTTGGATGACAAGTGCAATTACTGGCTGTCAAGTGCACGTGTTGGATGACGTGACATAGTTCAACGGCAACTGAAATTGCTGGACTACAAGTGAAATGGCTGGATGACAAGTGAAATGGCTGGATGACAAGTGAAATTGCTGGACTACAAGTGAAATGGCTGGATGACAAGTGAAATGGCTGGATGACAAGTGAAATATCTGGATGACAAGTGAAATGGATGGATGACAAGTGAATAGCTGGATGACAATTGAAATAGTTGGATGACAATTGAAATAGTTGGATGACAAGTGAAATGCTGGATGACAAGTGGAATGGCTGAATGACAAGTGAAATTGCTGGATGACAAGTGAAATATCTGGATGACAAGTGAAATAGTGGATGACAAGTGAAATGGTGGATGACAAGTGAAATATCTGGATGCCAAGTGAAATAGTGGATGACAAGTGAAATGGTGGATGACAAGTGAAATGGTGGATGACAAGTGAAATTCCTGGATGACAAGTGAAATATCTGGATGACAAGTGAAATAGTGGATGACAAGTGAAATGGTGGATGACAAGTGAAATGGTGGATGTACTGTTGGATGGATACGGACGTCTTTCTAAAATGAAATGTCTCGAGTGCTTCAAAGAGTAAAGGCATGAATGATGCAATACAAAGTGAAATATTTGGACTTCGTGGTCATTTTTTTTAAATGGCAAAAAAAAAAAACCACCCAAAAAAAAAGAAAAAAAAAAGAACAACAACAAACACATAAAAAAATTATTTTGCGCGCCTATTGAACATAACAAAATGGTGGATGTACTGTTGGATGGAAACGGACGTCTTTCTAAAATGAAATGTCTCGAGTGCTTCAAAAAGTAAAGGCATGAATGATGCAAAACAAAGTGAAAAATTTGGACTTCGTGGTCATTTTTTTTAAATGGAAAAAAAAAAAAACCACCCAAAAAAAAAGAAAAAAAAAAGAACAACAACAAACACATAAAAAAAATTATTTTGCGCGCCTATTGAACATAACGCTACATTAATAAATATGGTGCCTCATGAACATAGCGTTAGTCACACATAACGTCCCCATTGAACACAGCGCCGTAGAAATACATACGTAACTAGAGCAGTGGTCGGCAAATCGCATGCAGCTCTTGAACGTCCTGATTGTGGCTCGGCGAACCGGCCACAATTTGGGTTTGACTCTGAAAAACATGGTTCTTGAAAAGGAATTTGGCTCTCAAACGTTTTTAATCGTCTTGCAGCTGATTTTCGTTTCTTTTGAATGATGAGTTTACCGACCACTGACCTAGAGAATTATTATTTCTGATGAAACCTTTGCAGTATTTCCATCATCCAATTGGTTCCCAGGTTGGGCAGTTTCAGTGGCGTAAGAAGCGGGAGGGGTAAAAATCTGCCCCTTTTTTTATTTGTATATAGGGATGCTATTCTCGGCCTCTTGATCGAGGAAAGTGGGGGAGGCATAAATCTTGACCCGGTCTGTTCGGCCCTGACTCTAGCTACGACACTGGGCATACTATTTATCAGAGCAAAATTTGGCATAATTTTGACCAAGGCGATTTGCAGCTATAACTATGAATTCCCCCCCCCCAACCTAAGGGTAAGGCACGCCCCAGGGTATTCTTTTGGTCACAGCTTAGTACCACCCTCGTACTGTTACAATGATCGGTGAGGGTGAGGAGGGAAAACATAAATTGAAGGCGTCGATGGCTCCCGAGCAAACGGGAGAGGTCTTGGTTTGGGGGGGGGGGGGCTCATTGAAACCCTCCCCACGAAATTTGTATGAAATCAAATGCAGTGGAGCTTTTTGGAGCATACATGAATTTAGTTTTGCATGATTCTACACGCAATCGGACAGCAAAATAATATAGTTTTCTCTTGACCCGGTTATTTTACACGAATACCATTTTTAATTTGTTACTAAATAGTAATGCTAATTTTTAATTACTATAACACATTTCCTTTGTTAAACTAGTTGAATTGTTAAAATATAAATTCCATACAAAAAAGATGGCCATTAAAAATCAAGTCTAATAATTGTTTTTCCTAAATATTTCTAAGGTATAAGAGATTTAAATTTTAAAAAAATAATTAACAGTACATCTTCTCATTTAAAATTTCCATTTAAAATAGTAGCTTCGATGATATTGTTCATCATGTTTTAAGTGGAAAACTTAAAAGAGACGATGTAATGTTGCCACGCACCCCAATGATTCCAACAGATAAGCCCTTTGAATTCAAACGTCTGCAGTTTCGGGCGCGACTCGCATTTGCAATGACCATCAACAAAGCACAGGAAAAATGTCTACAAGTGTGTAGACAAAATTTGGAAAACCCATGCTTCTCCCATGTGGCCCTTGTGTATATAAAAGCTCTTCAAGAAACATAATTAAAACGCAAACACTTTGTTTCGTTGTGTGGCGTTGCAACGCATGCCGGGTACTCGCTAGTTTGTAAAAAAAAACAAAACATTATGGACCCTATAATTAAAAGTTTAGTGCTTTAAATATTGTGTTGCTTAAGAAGATGTTTTAAGTATTGAAGTACAAATCTATTCTTTGAAGTGTGCAAATGTTCCCATTGGTAATACTGAACACAAACTTCCAAGTAAAATTGGTAAGGTTAATATCACGTGCATTCCATATATATTTGGTAAAGAAAAAATCCAGTTTCTTGGCGGACCCCTTCCCACATCAGTTCATTGGCGGACCAATTCCCACATCAGTTCACGGGGCTGGCTTAAAAATTTGAAGGACAGTTGGTCGGACAGGTGGTCGGACAGTTGGTCGGACAGTTGGTCGGACAGTTGGTCGGACAGTTGGTCGGACAGTTGATCGGTCAGTTGGTCGGACAGTTGATCGGACAGTTGGTCGGACAGTTGGTCGGAAAGACAAAGCAAGTAACTTAAAGTTGGTTATGATATTTAAATCTTTTTATTGGAGACATTCATGAGTGTTAAAATTATACAATTATACTGTTTCTTTCGATGATTTATATGGTGTAAACAAATAGCATGGACACAATTGCTATAAAAGTACTCAATCATCAATAAAGCATATGTATTTAAAATACTGCATTGTTCTATTGAAAAATAAATTTAATTTCGTAAACACAGAAATAAGCGATCATTGTGAAGCAAAACAGTGGAAGTGCAGCAGGCATTGCACCAACCCCCCCCCCTCCTAAAAAAACCCACCTGAATTTAGATACACATGGTTTCATATGATACATGCATGAATGCCACCTTCCATTGAATTGTAAAAATAATAATTCCTGTCATTAGCGGCTTGATTTGGTTTCTTTATAGAGGAAGATTTTAAAAAACAACCTTACGTTGTCGTTTTCTGTCGTTTCCTGGAGACCGTTCTAAAATGTATTACGACCTTTCAATGAATATATTGGTGGCTATGGAAACACCAGCCTTATTTGTATGCTAATTGTTCAATAATTCTTCCAATGTATTCTTTGCAGATATTTGCTTTGTCTCTTCATCCCTTGCCTTTTCCTGTTCTCCTCTTAACACTCGAAGCTCTTCAATGGTCAGTATGGCCGTTCATATCTCGCACCTCGGTTCGTATGTAAAGGCCAATATGGGATATGAAAAAAGTTCGTATATCGAAAAATTCGTTTGCAGACTGCTTCATAATTGGAGGTACCACTGTTTTTGCAAACCAGACAATAGCATTTCAGATTACAGGATATAACAGGTTGTCATGTAATGCTTTACTTTAAGTTATCATGGTGTAGTTTGGTTTAATCATAAGTCATAACCCCAATGGGACGCATGGGATACCGTGAAAAGTCCACAATGGCGTACATGCTTTTCCGTACGTCACAAAACCCAGGCCTCCCAACCCCCCCCCAAAAAAAAAAAAAAAAAAAAAAAAAAAAAAAAAAAAAAAAAAAAAAAAAAAAAAAAAAAAAAAAAAAAAAAAAAAAAAAAAAAAAAAAAAAAAAAAAAAAAAAAAATTTACTTTAAGTTATCATGGTGTAGTTTGGTTTAAACAAAAGTCATAACCCCAATGGGACGCATGGGATACCGTGAAAAGTCCACAATGGCGTACATGCTTTTCCGTACGTCACAAAACCCAGGCCTCCCACCCCCCCCCCAAAAAAAAAACAACAAAAAAAACAAACAAACAAACAACAACAATAAAACAAACAATAAAACACAAAAACATAACAAAGGTTAACTATATGAAACAAAATTTAAATTTCAGTTTCGAAATTCCCTCTGTTGGATTAAGGTATATCATTTACGAACATGAGAATAATTTCAGACATTCTTTCCTGAATTTTATGTTACAAACACTGTAGATGATTGGATTGGCAGCGCTGTTGATAAGAAAAGACCTGTGGAACAGATGGAACAGTGCAAGGGACGGGTCGCTCAGAGATGAGAACGCACCAGGGGCGGTCGCCTTGAAAAATTCCAGCGCCAAGAACGGGAGAAAGGAGATGACGAAAACGAGACTGACGGCAAGCAGCATCGACGTTGTTCGACTTAGCCCCTCGGGTCTTAGCGTTCTCCCTGGCGCGGTCGTTGCATTTGTTATGGTAGCCTGGCACTGCTGTCCGCTCTTAGCTTCAGCCAAAGACGTGAGGAGTGTGGATGATGTCTCATTCCTTTTAACGATGGTTGATGTCTGTCCTGCTTCTTCGACCGTGGACGACGAAACGATGCAGTCATCCGTTGATCTCGTGTTGACCTCACTGCTGGTGTCGTCGTGGTGTGAGTTGAAATATATGAAGGTGTTCCTGGAAGCTTTACCGTGTCTGCACGCGAGCCTTCCAATCAGAGCATACAAGACCAACATCGGGATGGAGCCAAACACAAAAATGGAAATGAAGAGTATCGAATTGACCATCGGCCAAATGGTCCCAATGTAAGCGTCATCAATCTCACAGATGTAACCATGGATACCAGGAAGCTTGGTTGACTTGGTGTGGCGGCCATTTAGGATGCCGTAAGGAATCGCGCACAGAAGGGAGGTGACCACAATGGCTGCTGTGATGACCTTGGATTGGGTGAAGCTGACCTGCCACTCAAATGGCTGACATATTTTTCTGTACCTGTTGTGACGTGACATGAAAAAAAAACGCACCAAAAAAGAGATTTATTATAAAATGTGACTTAATCATATCACTATAAACAAGAGTCTTAATCATATCACAATAAACAAGAGTCTTAATCATATCACAATAAACACGAGTCTTAATCATTTCACAATAAACAAGAGTCTTAATCATATCACTATAAACAAGAGTCTTAATCATATCACTATAAACAATATTATTTTAAAAACACTCGTCTTCTTATACAGCAACACAATTCTCTATTTATTAAACAGAAAAGGTTGCAATTATATTCATTTATATTTTACATTGCTGCAAAACTCTTCTACTTAGAACCCGCGCTGTCTACCATTTTCGTCGTGCCCACATTTTTCAATGATCAACGTGGATATTTTGGATATGGATTGGGAGCCAGGGATTGAAACTGAAGCTGTGCTTTCAATTTTTTTGTTATATTTAAAACTATGTCGACGTCTGAATTAAATTATTGTGGCTGTTAAATATCGTATATTTAACCAATGTGAATGCCGATCTTATTCATGTGGTTTTCCTCCAACCATTGGTACAAAAATTCAACGTCATTTACAAACCATATTATGCTTGTATATGTTTATCTACACCAGGCCTGCACAACATACGGCCCGCGGGCCGCATGTGGCCCACAAGCACATACTTTGCGGCCCGCGAAGTAACGAAATATTTTTTTTATTCTTATTATTTTCTTAATAGCTTTCCCCATGACCTATATTCTTTTGGCCCGCAGAAGTCTTGTCCTACTTGTTTTTGGCCCTCACAAGTTTTTCATAAAGTAATACGGCCCGCCTTACATTTTGATGTGTGCAGGCTTGATCTACACCCGTCGCCAACTTAAAGTTGTTGAAACATTGGTTTAAAAAAAACCAGAACTGTATATGACACATGAGGTGACGTCACCGAAGCAGTAGGCAAATTACTTACTGCTGAAGTAAGTATCTGGTCGCTGTCATGGAAATTATTGCTACGTACCTTCTGGACTGTACACCTGGTCAGGAAACTAGTTCTTCTTGACCAACTGTCCCACTGTCCAAGTGATCCACATACCTGGTCAAAGACAACGACTACAACCACAACTGACCAGATACCTGTTCATGAAAACTATGGAAGCTGTCCTACGTTTCTAGTAGACCACATACCTGGTCACTGCTATTGCCACCAGCACAAGACCGGAACCAATGACCACAGCGGCGCTGATATATTGCTGAATCCTGCAGACGGTGGGATGGTCAAAGTCCCAGTCATTGAGTGACTCGTACATCTCTCCTACAAGTAAACATTTAAAATACATCATGCACGTCTTGTCTAATGCACCTTAGCAAAATAAATCAACGGATCAAGTTTTTTTTTTCATTTCTTAATATTATTGTTTTCATATCTTCTCTTGCAACAAATTTTATTTAATAAATTAAAACAGAACTCAACTAATTTCTAAAAAAAAAAAAAAAAAAAAAAAAAAAATCTAGTTTTTTTTTTCATTTCTTAATATTATTGTTTTCATATCTTCTCTTGCAACAAATTTTATTTAATAAATTAAAACAGAACTCAACTAATTTCTAAAAAAAAAAAAAAAAACAAAAAAAAACTCTTTTATTTTAAAGCTTTTTTAAAATTCGATTTCAATATATATTTTTCAGATAAAATACCTATTGTAAAAATGTTTTTAAAACAAACTTTGATCTTTATTTGTCCTCTATGTTAGTATTTAAATTTACCTGGAATTGTGATCGCGTTTGTTAATAGATCGTACACAGCCACTACCAGGATGAACACTTTCTCAGGTGTCTTGGAGCGCTTTCTCCAGTAGACTAACAGAACAAGGCTATTCCCGATAACTCCAGTCACTAAAAGTAGAGATAAGAATGTCAGGGCTGGAATCATGACAAGGGTTGTCTGACTTTGAAGAGTTTCCAGATGCAATTTTCTTTGTTCCTCCGTGTAATTCAGCGACTCCTCCATGTTTAATAATCTTTCCACGTTGCAGTCTGTTCTCACAAGGTCAAGTTGATAAGGACGCGTTGGCAAAGTTAAGTTGACAAAGTCAAAGTTTGAATGAATCTTCCTAACTTAAAAATTAACGTAATCGTTAGCTGTCTTTGAGACTTCTGAACAACGCCAATAAGTCTCAAAAGCACTAGTTTATAAATATTGTCACATATCTATGTCATGCGTGGACTCTCCTCTGAGAAATAACTTGTAGTGCTAACAAGCCAAGGAAGCCGATTGTTAAGGGGAGTTTGCAATGAGTGTCTGTTTCAAGTGCTACGATAAAAATAAATTCTTTTTTTCTTTTTCTATTATCTTAAAATAAGTCGCTTAGTTTCGTTCATGACATTAAAACAAAGCGCTTCCTGTAATTAAACTCAATCTTTATCTATGTCAAGTTCTACTTACATTTTTTTTAAAAACACAAACAACTATGTTTATTTTATAATCTAAAAAGCACTTTAAAAAAAAGAATTTATGTACAAACCAAATCTCAGACAAGTCGAAGATTTGACACTTGGTTCAGCCATGCACGCGTGTCTACATAAAGAAATAGGTGAGATAAATGACGTGGCACATCGCATGGGCAGTCGGTCGGACTATTGGTCGGACCGATGAAACAAAATAACCATCCTAATGGGTTGATGGTCACTGTTGGATGACAGGGGCGATCTTTTGTGTGGATTGAACGTGCGACAGTTGGATGACAAGTGAAATTGTTGGATGACACGTGAAATTGTTGGATGACAGGTGAAATTGTTGGATGACACGTGAAATTGTTGGATGACACGTGAAATTGTTGGATGACACGTGAAATTGTTGGATGACACGTGAAATTGTTGGATGACACGTGAAATTGTTGGATGACACGTGAAATTGTTGGATGACACGTGAAATTGTTGGATGACACGTGAAATTGTTGGATGACACGTGAAATTGTTGGATGACACGTGAAATTGTTGGATGACACGTGAAATTGTTGGATGACACGTGAAATTGTTGGATGACACGTGAAATTGTTGGATGACACGTGAAATTGTTGGATGACACGTGAAATTGTTGGATGACACGTGAAATTGTTGGATGACAGGTGAAATTGTTGGATGACACGTGAAATTGTTGGATAACACGTGAAATTGTTGGATGACACGTGAAATTGTTGGATGACACGTGAAATTGTTGGATGACACGTGAAGTTGTTGGATGACACGTGAAATTGTTGGATGACACGTGAAATTGTTGGATGACACGTGAAATTGTTGGATGACACGTGAAATTGTTGGATGACACGTGAAATTGTCGGATAAAACGTGAAATTGTTGGATGACACGTGAAATTGTTGGATGAAAAGTGAAATTGTTGAATTATAATTGAAATTATTGGATGATCGAATGGAAATTTGTTTGAATCTTTTTTTAGTTCACCCGTTAAAATGTTCGTCCATTTTATTTTTGAACCCACTATATCATATAGCAGTCCTGCACAAATCAAGATGTAACGCGGGCCGTAATACTTTATGACAAACTTGTGCGGGCCAAAAGAAAATAGGACAGGACTTGTGTGGGGCAGAAGAAAATAGGGCAGGGGGAAAGCTATTAAGAAAATAATAAGAATACAGAATATTTCGTGATTTCGAGGGCAGCAAAGAGAGTGCTGGCTGGCCTCATGATCCCTTTAAAAAATTTACACTCTGCTCTATTTAAAAGATGATGTCATTTTGTGAAGAAATGGAAACTGAACATCTATTGTCAATGTATTTGTCAAGATGTTATAATCTAGGCCTTTAAAGTGATAGTTTAATTCCATATTGGTCCGAGTTTAGACCGCACATGTCCCATAATCTAAGTATTTCAACCAGGGCTGTTAATGAAATAAAGTAGCGGTTTAAAAATATGTGTGCAAAAACATCAGATTCATCGAGCGTAGCGATATTTCATTGGTTCTAACATTTCATTCATTTTAATAGGTGGAAGGTACCACGTGCAACTCATCATATAAAATGCTATGAAAACAGCAATTTAAAAAAAATATTTCTATTTTTTAAAACAACACTTATTCTCCTCGGTCGGGGAGTTGATTTGCTCCGGGGATGGAGTAAAAAGGGGGGTGGGGTTAATGCAGTGATCCCCAGTTGAGATGCCTGAAGGAAACTCAAGACTTGCAAACAATGTACAATTCAAAATACCTATTTGGAATGTTCATCGGTATTTAGAATCGAATGATACGTCTAGATTTTCCCCCAGTATTAGGATAATGAGTATAAAGGTCGCAGAGTTATTGAATTGCTTCTACTATTTCACTAATTTTAATCGTTTAAATTCAGCTATAATACTTTTTAAAAAATGTTATAAAATTATAACTAAGTAGTTTTCTTTTATAAATTACATTTCCACTTAATTGTTAGACACATGGTTCTCGGGGGGGGGCTCATTTTAAATTGTCCAGGGGCACTGCCCCCACCCCCTAGGGAGAAAAGCCTAAAAATAAACACTGTACCTCTGTAACAACGGTTGAAAGGTTTTAATATTAACATGATTAGAACTTCTCATGTTTAAAATATTATTGCACAGAGACAGATGACAGGCGTCCATAAAACGAATGGCTTGTCGTTCCTAGCCTTACCCAACACTCCTACCCCCATCCTCACTGTTGGCGAAACCTTTTTTGTTTATTTTTTTAAAATAAATTGACATATTTCAAGTATGAGGTTAATGCATACAATGAATCTGTTCATAATAATGTTTTTTCTCCATTCAAACACGCATCTCATAAGACGCAATGCAATTTTTTTTTTTTTACATATCTAATACACGTGTTTCATCTCGTTGTAACAGTGTCTTAGGAAAGACTTGACCATGTTTCATCTCGTTGTGACAGTGTCTTAGGAAAGACTTGACCATGTTTCATCTCGTTGTGACAGTGTCTTAGGAAAGACTTGACCATGTTTCATCTCGTTGTGACAGTGTCTTAGGAAAGACTTGACCATGTTTCATCTCGTTGTGACAGTGTCTTAGGAAAGACTTGACCATGTTTCATCTCGTTGTGACAGTGTCTCAGGAAAGATTTGACCATGTTTCATCTCGTTGTGACAGTGTCTTAGGAAAGATTTGACCATGTTTTCAATGTTTTATACAAGTGCGGTCAGCTTAATTTGTTTTTCTTTTCTCTTTTTCTTCTGGGTGTGTGATGATAGCCGTGAAAGCTTAAAAATTTCACCATGCCTTTATTTGCAGACGAATGATCTAGAAATAATTCGTGTTAACTGAGTGACGCATTAATAATAGTTTTGCATCTCGAAAGATATGGTGCTAGATAAAACAACAAATCGACTAAACATTAGATATGGTGCTAGACAAAACAACAAATCGACTAAACATTAGATATGGTGCTAGACAAAACAACAAATCGACTAAACATTAGATATGGTGCTAGACAAAACAACAAATCGACTAAACAATAGATATGGTGCTAGACAAAACAACAAATCGACTAAACATTAGATATGGTGCTAAACAAAACAACAAATCGACTAAACATTAGATATGGTGCTAGACAAAACAACAAATCGACTAAACATTAGATATGGTGCTAGACAAAACAACAAATCGACTAAACATTAGATATGGTGCTAGACAGAACAACAAATCGACTAAACAATATATATGGTGCTAGACAGAACAACAAATCGACTAAACATTAGATATGGTGCTAGACAAAACAACAAATCGACTAAACATTAGATATGGTGCTAGACAAAACAACAAATCGACTAAACATTAGATATGGTGCTAGACAAAACAACAAATCGACTAAACATTAGATATGGTGCTAGACAAAACAACAAATCGACTAAACATTAGATATGGTGCTAGACAAAACAACAAATCGACTAAACATTAGATATGGTGCTAGACAAAACAACAAATCGACTAAACATAGATATGGTGCTAGACAAAACAACAAATCGACTAAACATTAAATATGGTGCTAGACAAAACAACAAATCGACTAAACATTAGATATGGTGCTAGACAAAACAACAAATCGACTCAACATTAGATATGGTGCTAGACAAAACAACAAATCGACTAAACATTAGATATGGTGCTAGACAGAACAACAAATCGACTAAACAATTTTCAGCGTTGCAAAAAAAAAATAATTTTGGATCAATATTTTGGTTACTTGAGAAGAGATAAAAATAACATAAAAAAAAAACAAGAATGATATTTTATAAATATTTGCTTTATTAAGTAAAAATCAAAGATACATAAGTAACATTCGATTTCTTAAAACTTAAGTTTTGTTGAGAAAATTTACTTGTAGATTGTAGATGGGGGATGAGGGATGGGGGATGGGGACCATTTAAAAAAAAAAAGCCACAGCTGTAGGTAACGAATGCAAAATAATATTTGCCACATTAGATAAAAATGATGATACACTACTATATAAATGATGATACACTACTATATAAATCACGATACACTACTATATAAATCATGATACACTACTATATAAATCATGATACACTACTATATAAATCATGATACACTACTATATAAATGACGATACACTACTATATATATGACGATACACTACTATATAAATCACGATACACTACTATATAAATCATGATACACTACTATATAAATCACGATACACTACTATATAAATCATGATACACTACTATATAAATCATGATACACTACTATATAAATCATGATACATCACTATATAAATCATGATACACTACTATATAAATCATGATACACTACTATACAAATCATGATACACTACTATATAAATTATGATACACTACTACAAAAATGATGATACACTACTATATAACATTAAACGAAAAAATGATGCTATTCAATCGTAGTTTTAAAAAACGTTACTTCTAAATTCGATACAAAAATAGGAGGACATTTAATTTTGATTCAAATCTTGTACTCAAGCCAGAGCCGTGCGAAGGAGAAGTTGACCCCAGGGACAAAGCCTGAAAATGGCGGCCTCTCAACTCCCGTTTTATGCTGTGGCAGCGTTTGACAAGGTTGAATCTTTGACAAAGTGCACCAGCATTGAGTCAAAAGCTAGCGATGATAAATAATGCAGCTCATGTCTAACCCTTCACGTTGAAGTCACTAAAGGTTGTGTACAACACAGACATTTCAAGACAGAAGCCACACCCCCATTGCTGGATACCTATACAGATTGCAAGACACTCCATTATAACCTCATCTAAAATATTTTGCATTTTCCGAAGTCACTCTCTGAATGTAACGCTCTGACTACACAATTTCAAGAATTTAACACTTTCTGATAACATCCTTTATTTCTGTCCCCAAAACATAAATTCACAACTTTGATATCGTGTGAAGACAACTTAAGACTTTTGACCGAGGTCATGTTCAGCTGTACCTCCTCGACCTTTGGCTATCTTAAGCAAATTCATTCCAGTTGTGATGTTTGATAGCATCCTTTAATTCTGTCCCCCAAAAAATAAATTCACAACTTTGAGATCGCCTGAAAACAACTTAAGACGCCGCCTTCTATCGTCTTTTGAGGAACTGACGACACTGTCGTCTAAAACTGACATCACACAAGCTGTAGACGATGGGATTGGCTGCACTGTTCAGCAGATGAGACTTCAGGAACAGATTGAAGATGGCCAGCGGAACCTCGCTCATGGCGTGAACTACATCCGGTTTTGCGGCCTTGAACAACTCCAGCGCCATGAATGGTGTGAAGGTGAAGATGAAAACGAGGTTGATGGCCAGCAACATGCACGACGTTCGACCCAGTCCTCGCCGCGGACGCATCGTTCTCACACGTGTCCCAGCTTTCAACAAGTCCCCCAAACTGTTGCTGGGTTTGATGAGGCTCTCTGTTTGAAAGCTTTCTTCAAACCGCAACACTTCTGTCATCAGCTTCTTCTCCTCGCCAAATGGAAACGATTTCTTCGGAATATCGACAATCCGCGAGTTTTTTTCCTTGTCATTTATTCTTCTGGTTTCAGTTCCGTCCGTGCAGGTATTTTGATAACCACCGATATGAATTCTATTCATGGAATCGATATTTTGAGATAATCGATTGCAATTGTTTGAAATATGCTTTATTTTTGAAGAGGCTTCTCTTTCCTCTTTAGCTCCATCTCTGAGATCTCTTGCCTCGTCTTTTGATTCTACTGAATAGCCTTCATTTATCGCTTTAACTCTATCTCTAAAATATGTTGCCTCGTTCAGTTCTAATGAAGAGCCCCCCTTTAACTCTTTAACTCCATCCGTTAGATCTCTTGCCTCGTCGTTTAGCTCCACTGAAGAGCCCCCCTTTAACTCTTTAACTCCACCCGTTAGATCTCTTGCCTCGTCGTTTAGATCTTTTGAAGAGCCTCCCTTTATTTCTTCAATACCATCTCGTAGACCTCTTGCCGCCACGTCATTCAACTCTATTTTACTTCCTGGGTCCTCCCCATTTTCCCACAATTCAACAGGGGCGTCATAGATGTTTATATTTAATTTCTCTTTGTCTAATCGAAATGTCTGTTTAGTAAGACAACTTACATTTTCATCCACGAAACTCGGTATCTCGTTTAAGGAATAGTCCATCCTCGCCACCAGGACCGCCCGCCAAGGGGCCGCGAACCTATTCACCTCGGCGCCGGTCAAGATGGACATAGTAATTTCGTGGGTCGAACCCTCAGGTTTACGGCTGGGGTTGTTGGGACACGGGACCTTCCTGATCACCTTGTGATTGGACGCTGTCCTCTTTATGAGACTGTACAGGGCGACGAGCGTTGCGCTCAGTACTAAGAAGATGCAGATGAAAAATCCAGAGTTGATGGTCGGCCATATCGTTTGTTTGTAATTGTCGTCAACTTCGCAGAAGTAGCCATCGACCCCAAGAACATGAGTGCTTTTTTTCTGGCGACCGTGAATGATGGCGTACGGAACGGAGAAGATCATGGCTACAACAGCTATGGCCACACTGATGACTTTAGCTTGAGCTGCATCCACTTGTCTACAAAACGGCCTACAAATTTTTCGATACCTGATGGGATGTCAAAGAAAGGTATTCACAAATTGAATTACACTTGCATGGTAATAGCTGTGTTCATCAGACTTGACATGTGATGGATTAGATGAGCTTATGAATACTTTTTGGCCACTATGGACAAATTACTCTTACCTATTTACAGCTATGGAAAACGTACACTTGCCTGTGGACAGATTAGATGACCGTCCACTTACTAAAGGAAAGCTATGGATACACTTGCATTATAAAATGTAAGATGCAATTACCATTACCTAGTCACAGATATGGTCAATATAACTCAGCTAGTGACAGCTATAGTCAACATTTACTCACATAGTAACAGCTATGGCCAGTAAAATTGAATTAGAAGCAATGATTGCCGAGGCATTGATAAACTGTCTAATCTGACAAAGAAGTGGATTGTCGAAATCCCAGAAATGGTAAGAATCGTAAATTTCACCTGAAAAACATCAATGCCTGTTGTTAATGTATATCCAATAGATTTATGAATCATAACATCTCGTTAATTTAGCTAGTCCAGATTGAAAATCAATGCAAAATGTATACAAGAAATACAACTTTGAAAATTAAGATTAGGTATAACTTGAAAGCAACAATCCACATGTGCAATTGGGATATAGAAAGACAGGTATAACAACTGTGTCCTGTACAGCTAACCAGTTATAATATCTGTGTCTTACAAAACTTACCAGGAATAACAACTGTGTCCTGTACACCTTACCAAATATAACCATCAGTGTCTTGCACAATTTACGAGGTTTAACAGCTGTGCCCCGTGCAAATGACCTGTTATAATATCTATGTCTTGCACAACTTACCTGGTATAACGTCTGAGTCTTGCACGACTTACCTGGTATAACAACTGTGTCCTGTACAACTTACCAATTATAACAATATGTGTCTTGCACAACTTACCTGGTATAACGTCTGTGTCTTGCACAACTTACCTGGCATAACGTCTGTTTTTTGCACAACTTACCTGGTACAACAACTGTGTCTTGCACAACTTACCTGGTACAACAACTGTGTCTTGCACAACTTATCTGGTACAACAAATGTGTCTTGCACAATTTACCTGGCACAACAACTGTGTCTTGCACAACTTACCTGGTACAACAACTGCGTCTTGCACAACTTACCTGGTACAACAACTGTATTAGTTACGATGTCAAACCCGGCCATGGCTATTATTAAAATTCTCAGGGGCGTCTTTGAAAATCTTCTCGCGTAAACGAACAGTACGAGGCCGTTTCCGGTCACCCCCACCACCGCCACCAGCGACAAGAACGTCACCGTCGGGATCATGACGAGATTCGTCCGCCTCTGAAGAAGTCCTAGAATCTCGGAACGATTCTCTGACGTGTTCATGTTGTTCGGCTGGTTCACTGATGTGGTGAGGAGGGAAAAGGACATCGCCGATCATAGCGTGTCTCCACAAAACAAGTTACAGGATGGCCACCTGTGGTCTAATATCGTCCTACTCACATTTAAGTGGGTCTTCTGGAGTCGCTACAACAGTCAAAGGTTTTATGACCATTTTAAAATCATAATTTAATTTAATGTTAATGGTCTAGTGTTTTAATATAAGACGGGCGAACTTTGTAATTATGTGTTCATCAAAAATAGGTCTGCTCTATTTTTAAATAATCAGAATAAACAAAACAGGACATGCTACTTAAAGACCCATTCAATCAATTTGATGACTGGATTTTTTGTTTCCTCCACGTAGAAGACACACTCAAGTCTTTTTTAAGTTTATTAGATAAGTAGATTTATTGGTGTATTTTAAAATAGTTTCCAAAGAAATCGAAGATAAATATTAACATCCAAATTAAAGAACATTCATTAACATTGACATTCAGAGTAAAGAACATCAAACAACATCAACATTCAAAGTAACCCTCATTCAACGACATCGACATTCAAAGTAAAGAACATTCAACAACATCAATTTTTTGTTTAAAGAACATTTAAAGTAAAGAATATTCAACTTAGTTTTTTTTAGACTCTAGAAGTCAACTTTTAATTCAAATCAAACAAGGGCCAAGTTCTATGGCACTCCCGCAGAGCGACCGAATAATGAAGATGCTGGAATGAAACATGCAAACTTTTACATATAAATCTTTTTCACATTGTAATATTAGTTTTTTTCTGTCAATTCGATGATGACTGACTTTAATCATCCAATTTAAGCTGACTTTAATCATCCAATTTAAGCTGACTTTAATCAACCAAATTTAGATGACTTAAATCATCCAATTAAAGCTGGGGCTCAAAGGTGTTGATTGGTGCGCAGATCATCTGTGCTGCTTATGACATCATGCAAGTTATAGTCGGTAATAGCAAAGAGGCCACACAGAACTAATGTGTGAACAGCACAAATTAAACCCATTCTCAAAATGTAGATCAACAATAAAATCCACAAAAACCATGATCTTAAAAACAGCATATGAAACGGCCGCTTGATCGGTATATCTAAAAATTCCCATTAAAGAAAGCGGCCAATGAAGGATTCAAGGAAAACCGAAACTGTGACTTGATTTAATGGAGTCTTGCTGACACTCACGCACACACCACACACACACGTTTGGCAGACCGAGTACAGGTTTCCTGTGTATCGCGCCAAGAAAGGAAGCCTCCTTTAAAATAACTTCCTTTTGTTTTATAGTCTCATTTTTTTTTTTAAAAATGGTAACTTTTCTTTGTGTGGTCTTTTAAAAAAAAAAAATCATTTACGAAACGACAATAATTAAATGTGTTACTTTTTAAAAAAAAGACTTTAAATGTTGAACACAACTTTTGGGTTATCTGTAGTGAGTGTCTTTAACAGTAGGGACTCACGTGACAATGTTACATGGTTTGATCGGAGCTGAACAATGTAATTGTTCACCATTATCTTTAATTATATCTGTTAAAAAATAAACATTACTTAAGACATGATGAAAGTTTAGATTTTTAAATCGTTTCTCTAAACTATAAAAGGAATAGTATATATATATTTGTATATATATATGTATATATATTTATTTATTTACTTATATTTATGTCATAGGTCAGTAGTGATTGACCACCCTTGTAGGATAGTGTTATACACTTTCGATTGGGTCTGGTGTACACCTTTGTATTGTTTCTGATTTACGCTTTTCTATTGGGTCGGGTTATATATAGCCGAGTATATCGTAAGGTTTGGCTTATTTTTAAACTTCAACATAGAACTGATTTTGGCCACCACAACTTGTCTGGTAGGATGACCTTCATATTGATGTAACGGGTAACTGTGTTGTGTCACCACTACCCTGCCCGTTACTATCTTGGCAGGGCAAACATTTGTTCAAAATTCGAATGCGTTCCATTTGCTCTCAAGAATGCCATTAGGTGACGCAATTTCTAGATTTTCTTTACTAGAACGTTCCAATTTAATTCCCATATAAAGCCCACCATGGTTTCTCAGAAGCCATGGCAAGACCTATATAGACATACGATACGTTATGTTATTGTGTGTATCAATTAAAATGTCAATTTTTGAGGATAGTACGATTTTGTAAAAAAAAAAATATTTATATAATTAAATTAAATTTTAGTATCACTATCTTTGGTATAGTGTTCTTTGTATACTGTGAGATCAATCTTCAAAACCAGAACGGTACGTAATAGTCTGTTTTACACTTCCCTATTGGGTCTTGTGTACACTTTCCGTCCAACAAACGTGAACATTTCTATTCAATATAAATAGATATCCTGCTCCATTATTATTTGGATCGCAAAAAACCGCTGCAAACGGTCACTCTTGGAATGTATAGGGCAGGCCGGGGGGGGGGGAGAATGTCCTTGAACATGTCCCCATGTTTTAACCGTTAGATTATTTTATGAAGTGGGAGCTCCTCGCTTGTTGTCTGAGATAAAGATAAAATATCATTTCCCGACACGTAACAAGATCTCGCGGGTGGCGCGAGAGTTCTGGTCTTACTACAGCTAGGAAGATTGGTGGATAGTGAAACCCGCAATGGTGGACTTTACGAAGGTTACCCTGGTATTGCAGTTCACCTGGGGGTTGTCGAAAAAATGGAACATGTGACGAGATGGATTTTTTAAAATGGCCTTTTAACTTAGAAGCAGCTGCTGTGATTAAAGTTCTTAATTCTGGTTAATCTAGATCGAGTTATTGTAAATTTATGAGTACCTGCCATGCTTAAGAAAGAAGATATTGTTTTATGAAATGAAACAAACAATTTAAAATAATTGTTCTTTTAATATACTTCAAATGTGAGTGAAATATTCCCTCATCCCCCCCTCCAACAAAAAAATAAATAAACATGTTCAAATTCAAGATTCTAGTTAAAATTTGACAGGATATTTTTCCCCACCTCTTTCGTTCTAAAATTTCATTTTTCTGATACTAAAAGGGCAAAATAGAATAATTATTTACCGATTATACTTCTTGTTCTTGAAAGGTAAAAACTGAGATATTATTTTCAAAGACTCTCTTCTAAACCTCAAATCATACATGCAGTAGATGATGGCGTTCGCACAACTGTTGATGAGATACGATCTCCAGAACAGATTGTGCGCCGCAAGTGACACGCCGCTCATGGACGCGAAGAGCCCAGGGGCGGCGTACTTGATCAGCTCCAGGCTGATGAACGGAAGGTAAGCGATGATAAACACCAGGGTGATGGCCAGCAGCATGCGGGTGGTTCGGTCAAACATACGTAAGGTATGGACGCCCTTCGCCCTGACCGAGTACAAATGCGATGGTTTGTGGCTGACGTCGTCGTTTACATCGTTTCGTGTTTTGGGAAGGTCAACCGCTACGCACTGATTAAGCTGAGTTGAAGAGCTTGGTGTATCCCCCAAGAGTGAAGTCTCTCCATCTGATAGAGTGTCAGTTAATTGAGTCGAATGTTCTCCGTTTGGGCTTGAATTATGTGGAAAGAACTTGATAGAGGGGGATGCCATAAGTTTGATCGTGCCTAGTTTTCCTCTGAGATAGTCGACTCCCTTAGTGGTTAATTCAAAATTTTGGATCTGAGATTTAATGTCCAATTTATGTGTCACTGGATCAATGACGTCATCTATAAGGGTATCTGTGTTGGTGACGTCGTGTTTGTGTATGTCTGAGTTGATGATGTCATTTTTATGTTTTTGAATCCGTTTCGGCACTTCATCGCCACCCAAAAGATGACTGCTGAAAACACCGACATTCTCCACGTCAACGTTTCGTTGCAGACTCTGATATTTCCTCTTAGCATGCTTACCTCTATCGTCACGTGAACAAGAAGTCTCCAAGTCATTTTGTAAGCTCTCTGCCACGGACTTTCTCATTTTCTCACCAGTTCCTGGTGTCCTTCCTTCTTTAGAATTGTTATATTTAGTCGTAGAGTCACCTTTTTGGATCCTTTTTTTAAAGCCACAGGTTAACATCTTGTCGTTTGAATCACATTTAGCCTGTCCAACCGTGTCCAGTTTCCCAGAAGTTGAATTGTCGTCCGTTGTTGTCGGTGCTGCTGTGTTGGTTTTGATGACGTCCGTGCTACCGGACATCTTTAATCGCATAGCTGCCATCCGATATCGCTTGTGTCTCCAGGCCTTGGCTCCTATGAGGGTGTAGAGGACCACCAGTGGAATGCAACACGATAAAAACAGAAGCAGGAAAAAGCAGGCGTGAATCATCGGCCATTTCGTCTGGACGTAGCTGTCGTCAACCGAACAGAAGTAACCGTAGACACCGGGATGAGGGGTCATCCTACTCTGTCTCCCATGAAGGAGAGCATACGGGACGGAGCCAACTATAGGTAAAACGATGACGAATGTCATGCTGATCTTAACGTGAGACATGTTCACCTGTCTTGAAAAAGGCCGACACACTTTTCTGTACCTGGATCCAAAAAAAAAAATACAACAACAACACGTCATGTCACAGGAGAAGAAAACTTTATCATATTGAAGAGTGTTTTGAAGATTTAAAATTTGTCTCTAACGCTAAAATAAAATTGTATAACTTTCTCATTGTGGCATTGGAAAGATGTTACCGGACACGAACAGAACTAATCAAGAGAAAACTATCATTGCAAAACATGCTAAAACTAACATGGCCAGGCAAGCTAAATGTTAGCCACGGTTTAAAAAAATTATTGCAAATTAAGACACGATCTAACATTAATTACCTAGCTACCGCTAGACACAGTAGAAGCAGGGCTGACGCCATTGACGTAGCTGAGTATATGAGACGTCTAGCCTTACAAAAATAGGGTTGGTCATAGCCCCACCAATTGAAGGTGTCAATGACATCTCCTGGAATCATTCAGTCGAGCAAGCAATCAGATTAAATGTCAAAGGTATTCAAAATCACGCTACCACACAACATAAAAATGGTCAAACTATACAAAAATTATTTTTAAAAAAAAAGAGATGTCAGATATTGTTTGATAAATATTCATTGAAATTCCCCATTAGATACTACAACAAAGTGTTCAGCGGTTATTATATACCAACAGTGTACATTGTACAGTATACACAGTACACGCTTTACATAGAATCAACATTAATAAAGTTGTCAACTCTCAACAAAGAATTAGCACTAAAAAATAACTTTTCTTGGCTGTGGGTGCAAATATTGAAATGTTATTTTTAACGGGATATCTTTTTTGTTAAATAAAAAATATATTAGTAAAACGATGCTTTAAAAATGATAACAATTTAAATAATTATAATAATAAGGGGTCTTATATAGCGCGGTACCCCAGCCTAGGGCTGGGCTCACCGCGCTGTACATACAAATTTTATCAAAAGAGACATAATCATGACATTAAAATAAAATACATTTATGAAATAAAGAACCCAACCACATAACTTTTACAAGGCAAACCATGGACGGCAGCCAGCAGGATCGTTTATCGGTCAGAGGAGGGGAATCACTCAGGGTAGTATAATTTAAAAAGATGTGTTTTGAGTGCAGTTTTGAAGGCCTGGGTGGTTGGTATATTGCGTATGTGTAGTGGCAAAGAATTCCATTGTTTGGGGGCGCAGAAAGAGAAAGATCGTTCACCATATGTTTTAGTGTGTGTCTTGGGAACGGACAGAATACGCGTGTCTGCAGAGGAGCGAAGCTGTCGAAGGGGTGAATAGACAGAAAGAAGTTCGGTTAGATAGGAAGGGCAGGAATCCAAGAAAAAGTTGTGACAGAGAACAGACAACTTGTAGTCAATGCGTGCCTGTATAGGTAGCCAATGAAGGGAATGGAGTAGTGGAGTGACGTGATCACGTTTTTTTGCCTTTAAAACTAGCCTAGCAGCTGAGTTTTGAACTTTCTGCAGTTTTTCTATGCAGTGTTTTGGTGAACCTGACAGAAGAGAGTTGCAATAGTCAAGACGAGAGAGAAAAAGAGCACAGAATAGAGTTTTTGTAGCGCTAACTGTGAGGTAGTGGCGTATGGAGCTGATCTTACGGATAGTGGTGTATGCTGAACGACAAATGTGAGATGTGTGTTTATCGAGACATGTTGTTAGAAAGAATATAACCAAGTTTCCTAGCAGAGTGTGTAAACCGTACATCAGAGTTACCCACTTGAAATGAGGTAGGAAGAGTTGAGGTAGAGAATGATGTGAGATTAAGATGAGGAGTGCTTCCGTTTTGTCATCATTAAGCTGCTTCAACTTAGATAAGCTACAATTTATCTATAATTTATAATTGTTAACATTATTAAACTTATTTTTTTAATACAGCATTAGTTCTGAAAATAAAATTATCATTAAAACAAGAGTTATATCGCTCGTGACGCCAACAGCGGAATTGGGTAACAGAAAATTATGGAGATGCGGTCCATCTTACAAAGGAACAAATTAAGTCGTACTTTAAAATTCATAACTTTAAAACTACAACAGCTAAAAATATGATTTTGGTGTTATAATTCTTTAAAAAAATTAGGTTCATTCAACAATGCCATTGGTTTATTTTTACAAAAAGGTTTAATTTTCTAATCAAATTGCCAACTTAAGTTGATTAAAATTAAGTTGTCTTAAGTCTTAAGACTTAAGCCTTAAGTAGATACTTCGATAAAACAAGGGAGACTACTACTTTTTTTGTATTGGAAATGGGCGTCGGCGCCGAAAAATCCGAGTTTTTAATTTTCCGATGTGTGTGTCTTATTTATTATTAAATTAGTTATTTGGACATATATTTGAGTTCCGTTTCCGGCCTTATAATTTGGAAGACATCTTGGCCTACATTTCCATTCAACTATTTTGCTTTTTTCAATCGAACATCATTTTGAAAATCTTTGGGTATATATAAGGCATCTTCAAATACAAAATTTTTTGTGAAATAAAAGGAACAGGTCTTTCATATTAAATCGTGTAAGGCATTAGATATTGATATATATCTGTGCCAATTCTCATTGATGTAGGTCGTGTCCCACGTTCGCTACGCTTCTCCCAGTGACCCATATCACCATAAGGGGGCTCAGCCTTATTTCGACATGGCGTGGGCCACGCCCCCTTTTTAATGGCGGAAGTTGCCGATACTTAAGAAATATTTAATTATTACCACTATATACATCAAAATATTTGATAACTTGTGTTTCAGAATGCATTTTGAAGACATTTAAACTGGAACGTTTTAATTTGAGCTTTAAAAACCCTGTAGAGTCCATATTATAAATGATCAGAAATTTCCGTGTGCAACATGTTGTCATTGGCAACCATTCACAGCCACTTGCATA